TCCTGTGGGTCCTGGGCAGCCTGATCTAGTGGGTGGCAACCAGTCCACAGTGGAAGACCTAGATGATTTTTAAGGTCCCTTACAATCCAAGCTACTCCATGACATGCTCTCCTTTGGATTTAAATCAGATGAAGTGAGCAGAGCCCTCCCTGATACACGTGCCTGTAAGGATAGGCGGCAGCAGATGTAACTGCTTTAAACCAGCTTTGGATCATCCAAGAAAGGCAGAGGTCACCATCTGGTAAATAAAGAAGGAATTGCTTACTCCTTTCCAAGGATCAGGGCTCACCAAATACTCCAAAGGAGGCAATCTCCAAGTAGAGATGCTTCCCTTGCAGCTGCCAGCCCTCAGATGAGGTTAGGGAGGAGTGGAGCCTAGCTCCACCCATCCAGTCCCACGGGTGAACTGCTTGCACCTATGCTCCCAGGGCTGACTACACCCCTTCACCAGGTGCTCAATCACTGGTTTAGGTCCTGACCTAACAGTTTCCATGCAATGCCTGACTGACTTAAGAAAGAATCAGGATGATTATTTCAACTATGAATCTGCATACATTAGCAGTCAGAGTTCTTCCTAAAATGAAGAAACCATCCAGAATATCTCTTCTATGTAGCGCAGCTGTGAGAACAATACAATAGTAAAAAATAGCAGCAACTAATGGAAGCAGATTTAACTGCAACAACAAAGTGCACCTATATAAATATATAACTATGCACTGTTTTATTTCTGGATTTATCTATGTTTTAAAGTAAAATGGAACACATATTGAAAACACAACTATTATTATTGAGATATATGGTATCTCATGTGGATGACAGATTTCTAGAAGAAAAGCATCTTCCAAGTGCTGTTCTACATTTCTCCAAGCACAAGCAAGGTCTACATTATTGCAGTGTCACAGTTTTAACTACACAACCTGTTAAGTTTCTGAAAGTGTATAAAGCAAAGGTCTTAATATCTTAGTGTATCTAAAACAGTATGTCAGAGATAACAATGGTGTGTTCTACCATTTTTCTCTTTCTATATAAACAAATGCAAGTTTAGATACATCCTTGATAAAAATCTCATAATTCCTTAAAATTCTTACCTGGATAGGTTTCAGAGATTGAGCATCAGGAAGAAATTTTAATAACGTTGATGCAGCCAGCAGCAGAAAAGACCGATTAATTGAGTCTCCTCCATCGAGACCAGAAAGAGATAACTTGTATAAACCATTGCATGACTCATGACGAACAGCAGTCTTTGTCAAAAGTAAATAAATGAACTCATTACATACATTTAGAACATTGTCTCTTTTTTAGATTTCCAAAAATTTATAATTAAGTTTCTATTATAATACCTATCGGGTTATGAAGACAGTATTCTTTCTAAAAACAACTGAACAAAAGAGATCCTTGCAATTAAAAAGTCAATCTATCTGTGCCCTCTGTCTCCTGACAATGTTGGTTTTTCTTGTTGGTTTCTTTTTTTATAGTGAAGATTATAACCAGCTCCTGAAATAGGTAATGTCACACCTCCATAAAGTACGAACATTGGTGTGCTACTGTAACCTATACTTACTCATACCAAATTACACTGTTAAGTTGTGAAGTGTCACTAAAAAGTTTTTTTATTTCTTTCATTTTTACTTATGAAAAATAAAAAAAAATCTGTAGACCATCTTTAATCCAGTTTTGGAAGCTTGCACTCACTTTTTACCAAGGTTTTTGAATGAGAGTACAGAAGATTTTTTCAGAGGTTGAGTAATAAAGTAGAAGACAATAAATCACCCCATCATGTCTACATTGAAACTTTAAGCAATCATGAGTGTATACAGACGTCTTATATCAGAGAAAATTACTTAAGGTTAAACAAAGATTTGTTGATGACAAACATTTTTATACCAACTCTCATTCACTTTATTTTGTGATAGCTGAAAAAAAAAAAAGGCAGAATTTCATTTAGATTAATCCATGTTAGAGGGCATTACCCAGAAATCTTTGATGAATTGCAACAAATGAATTAACTTCAAACAGAAGCCAAGAACAAAGATAGGAGTTTACACTATATTTTAATTACAAATTATTACCTCTTCAACAGGACTAAAAGTAACTGAGTCAGTTTCTGCTCTCCCAACTTTCAGTGGGAAACAACATTTTGAATTTAATGGAAGCTTGATCCATATCATGCACTAATTAGTAATATAATAATCTCTTCTTTAACTTACCTCTGGAATAAGAAGGGTAAGTTTCTTTAGCCAGTCTTGCAAATAATCACTGTCTGCCAGACTTGATTTCACTGAGGAACAGCAGTGAGCCCAACTCACCAAGAGCCACATTGAATAATGTGTGACTAGAAGAAAATCAGATGAAAGTAAATCATACAGAATAAGCTTTTTATATTGAAGAATTACATAGAACCAGCACATATGACATTTACCTCAATCATATTAACATATGAGGCTAAATCCTTATTGGCATGTAAGATACTATCTCAGATCAGAATTTTACCAGTATGCCTACTGAAGACTGCTCACACTTATCACAGTCAAATTTGATTAGGTATTACCAGTCTGGGGCACAACCCCTCCCTGCATCTCTACTTCTTAAGTAGTGATGAGCTGGTACTTCACTGAGGATCTGCATCTGGTCTTAACATGAACACTGCCCTGAACTAAAAGATCTTAGTACATCACATAGCATTTACTGAGAATTCAGGTTACGAGATAAAGATCTATCTATAGGACAGAACAAAATGAAAACATCAAAGGCAATGTATAAGCCTAGGAGGATCTACCTGTATTTATGCAGTGACTTGGTATTTGGTGTGATTACTCTAAAACAGACTTAATCTAGCACAGGCCATTTAGACCGCTTCTGGGAATCCTCCACAAGAAGGCTAGATAGGGCAGCTTTAAGGAATTCTGGGCTCAAATGTTTTCTGTAAACCAGATGATGATCTTTGGTGACTATATTATGGCACTACATATATTCTGCTCTGTGGAAGAATACAGAGGATTTTCCCATCAAAACCCACTTTTCTTGAGATGAAGTTATAGCTACCATACAAAATTTCAACTGTGTAAACAACTTCTAGAGAAGGAAAGACATGCAGGCTTTCTTGGACCTCTGTTTTCTCACTCAGATTGTAACTACCCTCATGCTTTCAAGGAACACAATTTTACAGCACACTAATGGTGGAACAAAGAAAACAATCTGTTGATCTTGATTATATTTTCATTATTGGTTCATGGCATATATCTAATTTGCAACACTGACCTTCATGTCTTGATCTGTGATCTGACTGAGCTTTCAACACCCTGGACAGGAAGAAGAAAGCCATTTGAACTTCATCAAAGATCATAACGTACTTAGAAATGTAAGCACGTAGGAAAAACACTGTTATTACTTGTAAGTACCCATGAAGAAAACCAATACTTTAATCCTAAAAAGATTAATTTCTTGCAGTATTCAATATTAGCAGTAATAATAAAGCTATCAGGATCTACAAATACAAATCACTCCCTTAAAGCTTTATTGACTACAAGAAAAAGAAACAACAAACTACAACCCCTTTATCCAAGAAAGAAAGGATATAAAACAGAACAGACCCACACACAAGAAAGCTAGTGTTTATCATGGGGATCCACATATTGAACAAATCTTTTTGAACTTCAGACAAATTTAAATGCTTATATTTACTTATATTTTTAAAAATTGCAGCAAAAGGTTACAAATTAGAAAACATAATGTATGTACTTAAAACTACTATTTTAGCTCATCTAGGTTAAACTTAGGCTGAAATGCTCCAAATATCCTTATTAATCCTTTAAAAACATGGTAAAACACACGTCATGTTATTTGGACTCATGCAAGTAATTTTATACTGAATTTGTCAAAAATGTGATATCCTCAGCATCAGTCCAACTCTGTCACTGCACGGTCTTACAGAGACTTGCTTTGCCTATTCTGAGGGTAAAATTTTACATTCCACGCGTATACACTCATTAAAATAACAACAGGAATTTGAACAGTAATAAGCTAATGTCATCAGAACGGGAAAAATAAATCAAAGCCAGCAAATGAAGGAGCAGCTTAAAAGTGAATTCACTCCTTTATAATCTCTTGGAATTGAGAATGCTAACTGCTACAGAGAGAACAAAGACACATTTTTGGCTTTAGAATTTATGACAGTGTTCTGTACGTATTTTGTAGCATCATGTCATATACCCTGGAGAACAACTGGTTAAACAAGGAATTCTGTAGTTGCTTAGTTACTTTTTCCTCCATTATTTTTGAAAATTTGCTTGGTTCCGTGATTGTTGCATTGCTGATGGCCACTGAGAGTTCTCTCCACTTGAGAGTACTTGACATTAACTATACAAAGAAGTGACTAAGAAAAGCAAATTAATAACTGCAAATTTAAATTTCTGATACATGCTTTAACTGGAACTACCACTAGAAATGCTAATTGTTTTATTTAACACAATCAAGGAAAATGTGCACACTTTCACTTTGTAACAAAAATAAATAGATATTGTACCTGGGTGCCAAGTTGTCATACGTATAAGCAACTGACATAAGTCGTTGAATCAGACTGGTTCCCTGGACAAGTACAAGAAACACCTTTAAAAATTGAAGTCAAAAGAAAAAAAAACAGTTAATATAACAACAAGCTTTTTGATCTGTTTTTAAATTATACAGTGTGAATTTAAAAAACAACAACGTAAACACCTGCAGAGAAGGAGGAACAGCAAGAGAAATTGCAACACTTCCACAGTTAGTAGTCATATTCTATTCTTTATTAAAGCAGATCTAAAACCTTGCATTTCACTGTGTACATCTAGATGCTAAACTTTCATTCTGTAACTCAAAGGGGCAACGTAACTGAGTAGAAAAATTGCTTATTCAATCCTTTTGGTAAAAAAACAGTGTAGTTCTTTAAATCACAGTAACTTCATTTTAAAGATCCTAGGCTTAAGGAAACAGCATCAAGAGTAAAGTTGGATATGTAAATTTCTCTTGTAGCAACACACTGACCACATGTCCTTTTAAATTATTAATCTTTAAAGCGCTTTCATTAGGCTGCAGAGAATTTTAAAATCAAACTCTGAAAAGAAGTCTTTAAATGTATTTAGATAGCACAACTTCTGCAATCAAAAATATTCATCAATGACAATTACAAATTTAAACCTAATTTTAGATACTGGTAACAGCATTAATACACATGTCCAATTCTAAAAAAGTTAATACATTCAATAATTTCCATGTACAATAGCAGCTTTGGCAACTTAGGTATCTATTTTATTAAAATTATTTCAGCTCTATAGAATAATTAAGGTCTTTTCATGTTTAACAACGACAAATGGGAAGTTAGGCTACAGGTCAAAGTTCCATCTTGCAACCACAGTTGACTAAGAGCAACCCATTAACAGCAGCTGCATCTCCAGCCATCTGAAACCAAAATACTGTTGATTAAGTATCAGGCTTGGTCTAAATTTCGAAATTAGCTGGCAAAAATCTAAGAGGAAGATTTACAGGTTTAGGTAAATTTATCATACACTTGCTCAAATATCCTTGGTAGAAGTTACTCTACACTTAGCTTGCACTAAAGGAAGCTGAAATGCATTTGCTGAGGATAAGGATGGCATGTTTGAAAGGCTACCAGGAAAACAGGAGCAATTAATTCTGAAAATAAAATCCAAGAAATAGGGGTATAGCACTGAAATTCTGAAATTCTCATTTCACATATTCACCAATCATCAAAAAGCCTTTTGATTCCAGCTTTTAGAACTGGCAGGTTTAAAACAAATAAAATTAAATGACTACAATTTAGAGGGGAACAGTATGTAGGATATAGCTAAGCTTTAGTAACTTTTTCACTACATTATTTTATTACAAAAAAAACAAACCCCAAGGCTTCTCACAACAAGGAAGTCATCCGAAGTTCACAAAACAGCTGCAATATTTATCCTTTACCTCTGTTAAGCGAGGTATGTGAAGACCCTTCACATGGTCACTTGCAGCCTTCCTTGATTTGCCAGGCCATGTTCTTTTTCTGTGACTCTCTGCTACACCAGACCAGGCAAAGACATCATGGTAAGCTAAATCCAGATCTGAAGGATCAACTGCAAACTGGCATATCAGCTTCAGCAAGCAAGCAAGGCAGTCCAGTTGCCACTGTGAATAAGAAAGTGAATTTTTCTTTTTTCAGTATTTTACCAACAATTTTATTCCTACCACAGAATTAGTAATGAAAAACTTAAGCAAGCTATAAAGGTCAAAGAGCTAGAACTTTAACTGGTAAAACCTCAAAAGAATAGACAATAAAGAAGGATATTAAAAAGAAATTAAATTTAAAACTCTTTACAATGAGAACTTTTTCACGATCCAGTCTTATTAACAAGTGCACTGAAGACATTCGATTACTTTATCCATGAAATAACACGGAGGAAATAATACACTGAGTTCAATTAAAGCACGGGGTGTGGCATACTGAAGTGCTTTCCAATAGAATACATTTCATTACAAATACACAGTTCATAGTATTTCAATACGCCATTTTGTATTGTAACATCACTTGATAGAGATGAAAACCACCAATCTATCTAGTAACTTGAGATCAGTACATGGCTTTGTGCTGTGCAGCTGTGGCCAAACAGCACGCTGTCAGCTCCACCAGGGAAAAGTGCATTGTGAAAGGAAAATTAACAAAAAAAGAGCAGTTTCACAGTAATACATCGAGTACACCTCAGCTGTCTAGCATGTACACACAGCAGTGAACAACACCTGTGTAAGTTCAAGAATCTGTATTTGGCACTTTGCTGAAGAATCTGTTATTTTCACAGAGATGTGCACAGACCAACAAAAGCCACCATACAATCTTTTAAAGAAGAGATAATGACTGTTTGTTTTTGTTTCTAACACTGAAACAACTCTAGAACAATACATCAAAGTCTTTTTATAATTTCTTAACTGCTGTTACCAAACTGTGAATCTTACATACTTATGTCTATTGCACTAGTGTCTGTGCTCATTTCCTATTTTATAGGAAATTTTATATAAGTTTTAGCTTAGTACAGAAAAGTAAATGTAACACAGGCTGATATTAATGGAAGCCTTATAAATGACAGACATCCTATTCTGGAGAACAAGGGTGAATAATCACCTACCACAGTCCACGACTCCCGTTCTTTAGGTTCTAAGATACCAGAATTAAAAATTTCTAGTAATTGTTGGAGTCCTCCAGCAGCAACAAACTGTAAGAATAATATGGTACCAATGTGAGAAAAATCAAATATAGAAATACCACCAACTCCACTTAGACACCAATCTAGGCTTTATAAATAAAGGAAAAAATCTGATCAAATACTCAGAGAAACAAAAGAAACCCTTACACTCAATTATGACAAATTTACAGGCCTGATCATACATAAAAACTTTAAAATGTTATACATAAATTTCAACTAAGGAACTCCAAAATAATGTTTCAAGTGACTTTTCGTTTTACATCTTTTCAAAAAACAACATTATTTATCACAGAATACTGTAGAAAAATCAAACCTTGCAGCTCCATGTGTTTTTACTATTTTCTATTTGATCTTCACTTGAATCATCTGAGTCTGGATAAAGATCACTATAACTTCCCTAAAGACAAACAAGTAACAAGTCACTACAAAAATAGTTAAAGATCCAAAATATTATAAAATGACTCATGAATATACACTTGGATTCAGAGGGAAAAATGTATTTTGTGCAAGAAAATATATTACCGTAGATTCACGTCTTATTCTTCTGTTGGGCTTTCCCAGAGCTTCAATAATTTCCAAGGCATACAAAAGTTTATGGGCACTTTTTATTCGCAAAAGATCCTTCCAGCTAAAGCCATCATTACCCTTAGAAAATAAAGACAAGAAATAACACAGTTACACTTAATACGGATGTACGAAATGCAATGAAAGGATTTTTCAAGTGAAAGATATGTCTTCAATTTTTATTTTAATCTACTATTTGAAATTATACAATTTAAAGCATATTTCTATGCATGATTAAGAATTTGACTAACAAAAAGATAGAAGTGAAATTTGAATAAACATGCAAGATTATTAAAAGTGTGCACAATTTTGAAGTACAAGAACCAAATGCTTCTTGGCTGAGTTACAATTTCCGCCAAGTTTTCCATGAGAGCGCCTATAAAGAACTGTAATACCTAAGAAAAACAATATATGACTTCTTTAATACAGGAAAACTGTTCATCTAGTGGACTAGAAAGATACTCTGTAAGTAGCCATGTTTTAAACTTGTACAACAGGCCACAGAAAAAGGATTACTATCACAACAATCATGATGTTAAAATTAACAGTGGATTTGAACCATTTTAAACACACTAGGCAGCAGATGAAAAACTACTATTTCAGTTCAAACAAAAAGACTGTGACAACTCGTACTCACTATTCACTTCTTTTAAGAAATCTTAATAACAAATTTTGTTTACTAAAACAACGTGTCTAATTTCATTTCAGAATAACAATTAGGGTGTACTTGTGTATGAATGTATCTTGCATACATATTTTGGAGAAAATTCAACTAAAACACTAAACACTAAAATATCCCTGTACAATAAAGACAAACATACAGAAGCAGCACTTGTTGTTTACCTGTTCATCTGAAATATTCTGGAATGCCTGCAACATATTAGGGCATGTTGGTAGAAGCATTAACAGTTCCCAAACACGTCTGGATAAGTTTTCTGCGTGGAGATGGAGCTCTTCACATTTTGCACTCTGATAAAAACATAGAACGACTCTTACTGTGAAATTACTTGTGAAAATGGCCTTAACTAAAATTTCAAAGTCCAAAAAGTATTTTTTTCTTAATTAAAAAGTTATCTCTTTTCTATGTAATGTAAATTCACTAATCAATCAAAGAAGCTGAAATCTCACTAACACGAGTGAAAATTTAAGTTGCATTATCTTGACACCATGCCATATATTGTGAGATATTTCAGTACAAATAAAATTGAAAAACAGACTACCAGTTTAAATATACTAATGGTTATTTCATTTCACACAAGCTGGTGATGGCATGTAAAACACAAAACTTTAGGTTTTGTAATAGGACTGTACTAACCTTCCTTCAAGCCAATTTCCATGTTTAGACACAAAAACTAATTAATCAATATTTGTTCTTATTGTTCTTATTATTTTTAATTGTGCTTAATTTTGCCTATTGTTATTATTTTCAGAGTGTCTCCAGTACACAGGACACTTTAAAAAATATTAGGAAAAATATGAAAACCAATAATAGCGAGCTTAACATGTGAAATTGCAAAAACAACAAATTACAGTAACTATGTATGACAAGCATACAGGAGACAAGAAATATGCTTGATAGGAAAACTGGATCCACTAAATAAGACTTAAATGCAAATATTATTAAAAAATTGCTCTAAATTACCTCATTGTCTTCCATAGATGTTTCTCCAGAGGGAGGTTTAAAGGAGGCTAGCATCTCCAACAGATCAAAAAGCGTGGTAAGATGAGGCTCTTGCAAGAGTAAAAGCATTGGAATGTTGTCCTTTTGAGGAGGAGGTAGGCAAGACGCTGGAAGCTGAACGCCATCACCTTTACGTTCTCTCCTTGGTGCTCCCAGGGATACAAATACCATCTAGAAACAGCGAGAAACAACTTCAAAATGCATACACAGCATCAGAATTAGGAACTTAACATTAAGATACATCAATATCCTTAGCATCAAAGATTTATGGATCAGCACCTGCCGTAAGTACTCTTTAACATCTTTATCAATGACACTGATGATGGAATCGCATGCACCCTCAGCAAGCTTACTGATGACACCAAGCTGAGTGGTGCGGTTGATGCAGTGGAAGGAAGGGATGCCATTCAGAGGGACCTCAGCAGGTTTGAAAGGTGGGTGTGGATGAACCTAATGAAGTTCAACAAGGCAAAGTGCAAGGTTTGGCATCTGGGCCAGAGAAATCCCAGGCATATATACAGACCTGAAGGAGAAACCCCTGAGAGCAGCCTTGCAGAGAAGGACCTGGGGTTCTGATGGATGAAAAACTGAACATGAACCAGCAGTGTGCTCTTGCAGCTCAGAAAGCAAATGGGATCCTGGGTTCCTTCAGAAAATGGGTGGCCAGCAGGGACAGGGAGGTGATTGTCCCCCTCTAGTCTACTCTTGTGAGGCCCCATCTGGAGTACTGCATCCAGGTCTGAGGCCCCCAATATAAGAAAGACAAAGAGCTGTTGGAGAGGGTCCAGAGGAGAGCCACAAATATGATCAGAGTGCTGGAGCACCTCCCCTACAAAGACAGGCTGAGGGAGCTGGGCTTGTTCAGCCTGGAGAAAAGAAGGCTGCAGGGTGACCTCATTGCAGCCTTTCAATACCTAAACGGAGCCTACAAACAGGAGGGGAGTCAACTCTTTGAAAGGGTAGATAACTGCAGGACAAGGGGAAATGGTTTGAAGTTGGAGGAGGGAAGATTTAGGTTGGTTGTCAGGGGGAAGTTCTTTACTATGAGAGTGGTGAGGTGCTGGAACAGCTGCCCAGAGAGGCTACAGATGCCCCATCCCTGGACGTGCTGAAGGCCAGGTTGGATGGGGCCCTGGGCAGCCTGGTCTAACATTAAATGTGGAGGTTGGTGGTCCTGCCTATGGCAGAGGGACTGGAGAATCATGATCCTTGAGGTCCCTTTCAACCCAGTCCATTCTGTGATTCTGTGATAAGTAAAGCTTGGTTCTGCTTTCACTTAAGGCACTTACGGTACAGTAGCGTACTCTGCTTCCTGTTGCAAGAACAGGTGGTTCTTATCCCTTACTTTTGTAGTCAGGATGACAAGATCGGTACCAATCCTACTTGACAAGTAAGCTAATAAAAACTAAACCAGAAGAAAAAGAAAATAAATTGTCTCAAATGAGCAGACAAACATTAGCCAGAGTTTAGCTGCACAAACAGAACTGTTTCTAGAAAAACTGAGATTAGTTCAAAATGCATAATCACACTCAAGAAAGCCTCCTCCAGATGAAATGTTCCTGCTGACCAGCTACCACCTCCATATATTGATCACGCACAGACACTCAAACTATATTACAAAATTATAGACTATTCTGAGTTGGAAAGGACACACAAGGATCATCAGGTTCAGATCCTGGTAATACAAAAGACCACCCAAACCCTATGTCTGAAAGCTGAATCAAGAGAACAGCTTTCCCATATTGTGAGAAACAGTCTTTTCCCAAAACTTGATAGATACAAACTGAAGGACGAGATGCCTGAGTACACATAAGCTCCAGAATAGAAGGCAAAGAGTCTGTGGAAACTCTCTGCCAAACAACGCTAGGAAGAACAGATGCCATTTTGTTGAAGATAGGACAATGAAACAGATGCCTCAGCTCAACACAACACAGTACGAGCTGGTTTGGGCTACCCCCCACTTAAAAGGCTGGAAGTTCAGAGCGAGGTAAACTACTAGCCTTCATTCAATGGCCACCAGAGACCCCCACTACATTTTTAGGACACATGCACAAGAGGGTGAGACAATATGTTAATGATTTCTTGGAATTCTGGCCCATTTTCTTGGAATGTAATGAATATGTATACGTTATGTCTTTAAATATGTAACCATTGCTTTTCTCAGTGTGCAAGATAGGAGATATTCCCCTCACACCTGGTGACATAATAAATATACCTGCTTTATAATCTTACGTGGCTTATAGTTTGATTCTGCATATCAGAGCACTGTACAAACACTCCTTGAACTCCATCAGCTTGTGACCATGCCCACCGCTCTCTGGTGAAGAACCTTTCCCTAACACCCAACCTGATTCTCCCCAGTGCAGCTCCATGCCATTCTTTTAGGCCCTGTTGCTGCCCCCAGAGAGCAGAGATCTGCTCCTGTCCTTCACTGTCCCTGTACTCTCCGTAAGGCCTCTCTGCCCTTGAGAGATTCAACAGCTCCTTTCAATTTAGTGTCATCCACAAGTCCTCTATCCACGACACTGATGAGAAGTTAAAGGGAATTGGCCTAAAATGGAGCCTCACAGAAACCTGAGCGCCTGGCTGCCAGTCTGATTTAACCCAATTTATATAACCTTTTGGGCCAGACTCATCAGCCACGTTTCTATTTTTGTCTTGTGGTAGAAGGATGCCATGAGAAACAGCATCGAAAGCGTTGCTGAAATTCAAAAATTACATCAACTGGCTTCCCTTGGGAATCTTGTCATAAAAGGAGCTGAACTTGGCAAGGGACATTAAAAACAATATGAAGGCATTCCACAGGTATATAGGCCAGAAAACACAGGCCAAAGCGAGTATATCTCCTCATAACATAACATAAAACATAAAAGGAGAGCTGGCTTCAACAGATGAGAAGGCTGAGGAACTGAATGAGTTCTTTGCCTCCGTCTTCACTAGCAGCCAGGATTCTAATATTTCTCACGTCCTGAACACTGCATCTCTAAACCTCTAGGTGGGGATCAGGGCAGTAAATCCCCTCCCCCCCCCACTGTAAGGGCAGAGCAAGTCTGAAACTGCCTCATGAGACTGAATGTGTACAAGTCTATGGGCCGGATGGGTGCATCCCAGGGTTCTGAAGGAGCTGGCTGAGGTGGCTGCTGAGTTGCTCTCCATTGCATTTGAGTCTAAATTACCGAAAAAGGATGACGATTGCAATCCAGTTAAAGAAACATTACCCATCCAAAGATGAGGGCTCACCAAATACTCCAAAGGAAGCAATCTGCAAGTAGAGATGCTTCCCTTGTGGCAGCCAGCCTTTAAATGAGGCTTAGGAACCTGGTTTTAGTCACACAGATGAACTGCTTTCACTTGTGCACCCAGAGCTGGCTGTGTCCCTTCACCAGGGGCTCAATCGTTGGTTCAAACTGTGACTTAGCAATTACCATACGTGCTCCCAAAGAAAAAAATACCTTCCATCATCACCACAGTATATATCAGCTGTGTAACAAAGAGGGAACAACGTATCAAGCAACCCCTTTAAGTGATTGATTTCTATACATTCGTAATACCTGCATATCCTTAAAACCCAATTCATGAAGAGTTTTTTCATCATAATCAGTTGTCAGCTCATGCCCAGACGAGATCATTCTCACAGGTCCCATGAGGCCACCTAGGATATTTAAAAAAAAAAAAAGCAAACAAACAAAAAAAAAGCAAACAAAAACAAACAAAAAAAAAAACCACAGCAAATTTTTGGAGTCAGTTTTGTTTTCTAAAGATAGTGCTAAGACTCATTTTTAATAGTATACCCTTCAGCAGCAATTAACATTAAAAAGTCATGGCAATTTCCTTACAAAAACAGATTCTTAAAGTACATTTTTCTACCTGTGTTTGGAAATAGCATTTTCAGTAAGAGCTCAACCCAATCTTGCAGTAAAGTGTCCACACTACAGATGAAAAACATGACTCCCATAATTTGCAGTAAGTTACACCATTTCCCTGAAAAGAATTCTGGGAAATAATTGTGATCATCTCTTCGTATTACGTGTCTGTGATCAAGTCAGCAAAAACAAATAAGCAATAACTAATCTTAAGTTGTAAATGAAGAGATTCTGTACTTCTTAAGTACAGAAAAAACAAGAGCATCCTCCAGAGAATTGTAAGCACTGAAGAAATGTGAACAATTAAAAGATTAAGATTTCAATTTGGGTGCAAGCAATCTATGTTTCTATAAACAATAAATCAAGAAACCTTGTTATCATATATATAAATTAATTTTGCATTTTAAAATGAATTTATCATCTCTGATTACTTATGTAGTTCTAACCACCAACTCCACTACACAAATATATTTTTTTGGATTAAAATTAATTAATTTTTATGGATTAAAATCTGGTTTTCCAGTGTTAGGCTCTGGTCCCCCAGAGAAGTGAAGAGCAGCCCTACACTGTACTTCTTCAGGAGTTTGGTTAATAAGAGATGTAGCTAATTCCAGGATTCTATCAATTTATCAGTCAATCCAGATGATGAATCACAAGACTACTTAGAGACATTACTACGGATTTTAAAACTAGCAAAGGACACTGGCTCTATGGTTCTTCAATTTCCCACAGTTATGGTATGTTAATTAGTAGCAAATGAAACAAATTCCATAGAATGTTAAGTGTACATAATTATGGATATCAGCACATTATTAAATTAAAAAATACATATATTAAAATGACTAAACTGCATCTGGTGTAGGACTGCTATTCTGAATCTTCAGTTTCTGAACTCCTAGATAGAACAAAAATAAAAAAAGATCTGCTACCTGGCAATACTTGGTGGAAAACAATACAGTCTCTTTGCTAGAAGAGCTTCTAAGAAATGACTGAAAAGACAGACTTCACGAAGAAATTAAATTAAATCTAATCTAATGTTTGAAGTCTGGTACACTGACAGTGCATCTCATTAAAATATATATTTATAAATATGTATACTTTTTTTTAAAGACATAAAACTACACAGTCAGACTAACGTTCATACATTTACCAGTGGTCATCAGTGTAAGAAAAGGATGACTGTGGACAGAACTTGTTCAGATAATACGCCCTACGTTTTAACTTCCTCACAACGAATACACAAAACATGAAAACATTCAGGAGAAAAAGAAGGGCCACTCTGAAAGTAAAGCCTCCTATTTTGTGATGTTGCTGCATGAAATCAGAGGTGGATGTTGATGGTATGGCGGTAGAGGCTGAACCTTCTCTATAATATTTCGTTTTATTGCCATGTGACAGATGGCAGCAGAAGCGTAGTCTGACAAAACGGCATCTGACGTAGAAGTGTGTATGAAGCAAAGATGTGTCACCGAATTCCTCCAAGCAGAAGAAATGGCACCCACTGACATTCTTAATCGCTTGCTGAAGGTTTAATGGAGAGCAAACAATGTATGTGAGCACCATGAGGTACAGGGTGGTACATTTCAGCAGTGGCGACATGGTGCATGCTTTTGTAAGTATGGCATGCAAATTCTTGTTGACCAGTGGCAAAAATTCATAGTTAATGGTGACAACTATACAGAAAAACAGTGTTTTGTAGCTGAGAATTTGTTCTATCAAGTAGTGTTATTGTACTTTTAGTATCTGTTGTAGTTTCCATGGAATTAAACAGGAAGCATTACTTTCAGAGCAACCTACATAATTCAAAGAACAAGAATATTCCGAGCAGCAACAGCAGCTAAGAATGCTGTAATATACAGAAACAAGAGGATTCAGAAAATGTCCTTCTCCATCTAAAGGATGCAGAAAAAAATTCATTCACTCAGAAACACATAAAGAAAGGTAACAAGTGGAAATTTCTTCATCAGACTTGCAAGCAGACAACCTCAGAAACAAGGTAACATTTCAAATTCTTTACAGAATGATCACAAATTAAAAAGCCATTACAGAATTAAGAAAAATACAACTGACTGGAATACATATAGGAAGGGTATAATATGATTATGAGTCTGAATTAATTCAAATTATGAACCAAATGCAGAGTCATAAAGGTATACATATCACAAAGTAAAGTACTATATAAGAAATCTGTAAGTGACATAATGACATGATTAATTATAACTACAATGAAAATGAAAAAACTCAGGGGAACTCTATTCGATTTATTAGACATATTGGATTTTGCCAGTTCAGCAATTTATTTGCAATTTCAAGTAACAGATAGTACTTATATGTGCCATTACTGAATGTTATTAATGAAAAGTGAGAGCGATGCTAACTGTAACTACAGACAGTATCAGTATCATAATCTTTCCTTACTTGAGATGCCTGGGAAAGAAGGAAAAGAAAAAAAAAGTAATCTTTTAAGCTATGAACGGATGAACCTTCAAAATGGCAAAAAACACAGGTATGAGTACTAAAGCTTACCGGGAAAATCCCCTTTTCGACTGCTTTGGCCAAACTCCTGAAGCTGTGCTTGTTGATTTATCTGCTCTTTCTGCAAATTTTCGTACCAGTGGGTGACTTCAGCTCGTAGATCTGCCACTTGATCACTAGGATACATTTCTATAGTCATCTGAAATTAAAAACATTTTTTTTTCTTTTTGAAGTGAACAATGGAGTTACTAAAATTTAACAAAGTAGGGTGTACTTGGGAAAGGGCTTTTAAACTACCTTGTCAGGAAGTCCAGCTGGCTGACATACAATTCTTAATGGTAGGGACTGTTTGTCACTCAGTGCTTTCAAATGACTGCTGATGCCAGTACCTTCAATCTGCCACTGTCTCAGATGATACGCAAACCTTGAGAAGCAAGTAAAAACTTGACAAGGTGTTTTTATCAAAACCTGTTTAACTTAGACATTCAATAAACAAGCAACACTTGACCCTTTGTTCTGTTTGTTCAAAATAAGAAAAAATGATCAGTATATTCTCAGTATTATTCAATTTTGGGCGAGGAATGGGTAAACGTAAACTACATCCATCCACACTTCTTTACAAAGACAAGGGTCAACTTTTTAAACTGTTTAAATCTTCTACCTTTAAACATTATCCACTATTGTCTTTACTTTACACGAAGAAAAAGAAAGAAGCTATTACTTATATTAATGAATTCATCACTCATAACTCATTCATCATTACTGTAAGAGAAATAGAAACAAATTCTGCATCCGAATATACCGTGGTGCTATTTACCTTCTCCTAAAAGCTTCCAGATGTGTCTTTAGCATCAAGAGTCCTCTTTCAATAATTGTCAGACTTGAATGAGAGTCTTGTTCAAGATTACTAGAAGCTATCATCAGACTTTCCATACATTTACTAATAAATTCCTGCTCTTTTTCAAGCCCAGTTTTACCTGTAATATCAACATCCAAGTAAATTATTTAAGCACATATTTAAGACCATGTATTTTAATATTAAAAATAAAGAGGGTAACATTAATATTCTTTAGAACATATTAACAGAAAACAAACTTTGAAATGAAAATTCATACCGTTGATATAATAGGAGTTGATGTACTGGATAGCTGCTCGACTGACATCACCAGACTGTGCTCTTAGAGCAATACCCCAGAACTGGTCCATGCCACACAACTGTTAGGACAAAAGGAAAACAAAGAAAGAAACAAAACATTGCCTCATTATTTTACTGGAAGTTTAACCCTTCTGATATGAGATGTTTTATTTGTTCTTGATGCAAATACTAAAAATACCTCCTTTGCTCAGCCTCTCATCACTTTAAATACCAACTGTTGTAAAATCCTAACATTGACAGGAATATTTTTGTACTTTGAAGGATAATTGGTTAAACTTCAAAAAAGTGTTTTTTATTTTTGACAAGCAGAAGTAAATTTAAATGAAGACTTAAAACCACAACCATTATTAGCATTCATTGTAAGAACACATATTTTAATCTCCACTGCATCAAATCAATGCACAGAAAAATACCCTACATATCATCTTACTTCTAAGACAGTGAAAAAAAAGCACATAAGAAAAACCTGTAAAGTACATCACAAAATAAACTGAGCCAAATTTTAACAAATATTAGTAGACAGGATGAAATACGCTTAATTCATGTAAAAGTTTCCACATAGTTTAAACGTTACTACTAACAAGTCAAATTTTCAAACCTATTCTTTAAACACAACAGCTAACAGTTCAAGTATGCAAAGAGAATGATAAACTGCACTTTCTTTATAGCTTCCTACATCTTTCTCTATAAATAAGATGACCAAAGTCATGAGGACAGGTAAGGATTGCAGGCCTCTCAATTCCACGCCTACATTTTACACAATCAAATATGAAACTTCTGAGAAAGATGGTTCCAGGATTCTCTCAATGCAGAAATTCATACTGCCTTGATGATAACAGACTGTAACATAAAGCTTCAAACCAATAAACAGTTTTCAAACCAGTATGTTCTCAAGATAAGTACAGCTGCGGATAAGCAAAGTAAGTTTTCCCTTTCCTCAGAAAGAAGAAAAACAGAATCTAGGCTTACCTCTGAGTTTGAGCCACCATCATATGTACTAGTAGCCAATCGAGCCAAATTGCACAAATGCTGGAAGAGATTCAGTCCAGTCATACTAATAGTTTCAGGTTTTAGCTGTGGCATCTAAATAAAATAAATACACTTTAGTATGGAAAATAATAAAATGTATTATCATTAAAGATGACACTGAATTTTACATACAGTATAAGTAATTGACTATAATCACTGTTAAGAACCCCGTTTCCTCTATCACTGAATTGGACTGTAACAGTACTGAAGGAACAAGAATCACTACTGCAACATTAGTTGCTTAACGTATCAACAGCAGATCAACTTGATAGCACACATGAAACTTCAGTGAAAAAAATCATACAGTTACAAAAAGTAGAACTTAAACTGTGTAATACTGAAAAAGAGCTGGAATACATTATTTACTGTACAATCTCCTTCAACAGACTATAGATCTGTTAAAATGAATGGGATCCACTGCAATTAGCTCTACTACAGCACGTTTGTATTTTCAGTGAATATGTGGATGAGATTTAAGTGCCCCTCCCAAAGAGGAGAAAATCTTGACTGCTTGTTTTTGGTCAGATGCCTGTACATCACATGGGAAATTATAATTTTTGGTGGCTTTAAATAAAAAAAAAAAAAGAAAAAAAGAAATGCTACCTAGCTTCAGATAAAACACACAATCTATTTACGAAGAAGCACAGCAGTGAGTGAGCACAAAAACAATTCATGCCAATCCCCCCCACCTTCTGTTCAATTAGGAAAAAAAAAATCATTTGCATAGCAAGTAGGATCCTGTGATAGTACTGAAGATATATACACCATAGTAACCATTAACAATATTTTAAACAGCGCTGATATGGGAAGAAACATTAGAATTATCAAGGTTGCAATTAACTCTCTGCGTACCTTTTCCAAGAAAAGATGTTTGTAAGTTTCCATACCCATAGCATGCTGATCTTTACTTCGTACTTGATTCAAGAACCAGTGTAGTGCATCATCGTAACATTCAGAATCTTCAACTAAGCAGTGCCACAATATGTCCACTTGTTCTAAACTCAACCCTAAAATCAAGGGAGCATTATCAACTATTCCAGTATAAAAATCAAATACCCAAATATTCTACAAAACCCAAAAAAGCCAGAAAAATCAGAACAGGTTTTGTCAAGACAAGTTGTTTCCAGAAACCGCAGAAGAAAAATGCACCACATACCAATGAGAAACCATACGTTTTCCCTTTTCAGAGCTGGTGATTAGACAAACCTTTTAGTCATTAATTCCATCAGTTTCTACCAATCCACTGAACAGTATGAGCTGACCTGGTATCTTCTACTAATTAGCAGGTTGCTTCTCAGTTCATAAATGATTACTGAACACAAGCTTTGAGTTGGGTATTGAGCCAGTGCTCAATATAAAGATATTATATAATATTTATATATATAAATAAAGAGCACCTCTGTAACTATTTCATATAAAGTCAGGAAAAAAGTAGGTTTATTTTCCTACATCATATATAGACGCTTGTGATACTAAAAGAGCTAAAAATACTTTCAATATACAATAACAAATGTATTACTACAATTGGTATTTTATTTTATTTTCTCTTGGCTACAGATACTCTCACTCTTTCCTGCACTCTGTATTCTAATGACCAGAGGGACAAGCCAAGCAATGGATGCTGACTTTGCTACCTATTATGAGACTACTTAAATGATCCTCATTTATTCAAACGAATCACCTAAATATACAATCAACTCAACCTATACAGAGCTGATGCTGAGACAATACTAAATGCTACTACTTTACAAGAGCTTAAGAAGAGAACGGCTGAACAAGTTTAGGAGTAAGGGTAAGACTCCAAGGCTTAATAGAACAAAAAATTATGTTCAGATTCTAATTCCATCAGGCACACAAAGAAAAAATAAATGTCAAAAAAATAAAATCAGTCACAACAACAACAACAACAAAAACTTAGTTTTATCCTTATTGAATGAAAAGATTTCAGTGTATGTTCACTATCACATGGATTACCACTTTTGCAAAGGATCCTACAAGGAGCATGAACTGTTTTGGACAGTACTAAAATATTAATTAAAAAATCTCTTTTTGGTATTACAACTTACATAAAGTGTTCTTCAGTACAAAACCTCTGAAAACACTATGGACATGAATATAAACTCACAAATGCAGCATATGTTCTCTTCATTTCAGTAACTATTATAATCCTTTTATTCAGAAAACTAAGATGTAAGAGAATGAAACACCTTGCTCTCGCGGACCGGCAAGACAATCTAAATCCTAATGTTGGTTCCGTCTATCAGCAAAAGAAACAAAATCTTCTTTTGAAGCAATATTGTACATTACTTAGAAGTGTACCTTTAACAATGTCATTTTTATTTAAAATATCAATGACTATTAAGAAGTGTGCAAGCCTTATTGCAAGGTGCTTCTCTGACAAGGTAAGCTAAAATACTTACTGAAATGATCTGGTGATCCTAGAGTTGAAAACACACAAGTCAAGAACTGAAGACGAACTTGAACTTCTGCACTGTGGCTGTATCTAAAATTTATATCGGTATAAGAAAGATAGGTTATTTAACTTAGTTACCAACATATAATTGCTTGTCGTAACCTTTTCCCCACTAATGCATATTCCTCTGAAAAGTATAGTTTTTTCCTTACAAACCTATTCTGAACTTCCAGTAGCATCCAGCTTAGACTTCCATTAAAGACATTACCAAACAAGAAACACTAGGGGTTTTAAGACTTTTATTATGTCTTTATGTTATTCTCTTTTTTTTGTCTGATTTACTATTGTTTTTCATACAGTCCAACTAAAATGCATCATTTTATCATTACCACCTTGAAGGAGCTTACCTTAATTTTTTTTGCAGCTTTAAAAAGCTGATATTTACACAATGAAGCCCTGATTACATCCAGTACATACGCTTTATAAAAATATTTTTATAACCTACATAAAAATACTGACTTTATTTCAATTTACAAGCTATAAACTAATAGTTAAAGGAGTAGAACAACGTACTATCTAGCCTGAATTTTTAAAGCAGTTCTCCTCACTTTCAAACAGCTTTGGAATTAATTTCTCATTAGTGAAATATCCAATATAACGGTACATAAAGGACTAAAAAGTTGTCAAAACTGGAACAGTCTAGTCCTCTGGAAGCTAGAAATTATTATCACTCGTGTATATACACCTAATTTTAAGCATACACACTAGAAAGTGTGGATGAGTGTGTTAAAACACAAGAACTATTGTAAAGGTTAACAATAACAAAATAGAAATATTCGAATAGATTTATAATATGACACCCATTTAAATTCCTTTGCATTTCTAAAATCCTGATTTCACTTGTAAGTAAACAATCAAAATCAAAATCATGTCTAACAAAATGACAGAATTTGCTGTTTTTTTTGTTTTTTTGTTTTTTTAAAGACATATTTTAAATCTAATTATTTTTTATAGATCTTTCCCTGTCTAAGCATTTTAAAGTCACTATTGAATCATAGAAGTTTGGGCTTCATACAGTTTTAGTCAGTTCTATATGTCCTGCAAATTTTACATGCCAGGTTATGTACATAATAACATTGCATCATATACAAATGATGCAATATAGAATCACAAAATCATAGAATGGTTTTGGCTGGAAGGCACCTAGTCATCATCAAGTTCCAGCCCCCTGCTACAAGCAGGGACACCTCCCTCTAGATCTCAAAGCTCCATCCAGCCCGGCCCTGAATACTTCCAGGGAGGGGGCATTCAAAACCTCGCTGGAGAACCTGTGCCAGTGTCTCTACACCCTCACTGTAAAGAATTTCTTCCTATCTAATACCTAGATATTAGATACTTATTCTTATTTACTTAAGAAAAAAAAAAAAAAAAAAAAAGTTCTCAAAAACATCAGAAGAAAAACAGTAAAAAATGTTTAAAATCATAAAATACCAAACACAGTCATTTGTGTACTTACAATGCATATTTATGTCGTCCCTCCCTGACTGCCTGGATGTAGTGTACCAAATTATCAAAGAAAAGTTTCATCATGTTAAGTTCCTTTTCTGCCCACCTGTGTAAATTTAGAGGGCAGAAAGTGTTACGGCCTGCTAAAAATTACCAGAATAGCTACAGAAAATAGACAGCTTTTCAAAAACATGCACATACACAAGAACAAATTTAATTTTGCATTCTCCATCTACCGTCAATTAAAAAGTTTTTTTCACTAAAGCACTCTATTTTTCCTTGTCATCCATAAAGCTCCATAACAAAGTTACTGAGGTCAGGCACAGGCTTGAAAGAAAACAGTCCTTGTTCCTTGTCCTCTTTTCAGCCCTTGTTCCTAAACTGTTCCTGAAGACCCGTATTCAGCAAAAGTCTAAGCCAAAAACCAGAACTGGACAGATATTTCAGTGCCATGTCAAAAATACCAAGAAATAACGCTGATAGAAGGAGTAGTATTACCCAGTCATTCTCAATAGTTGGACTAGCTGTTTCTCCTAATAAGGAATGCTACATGACATATTTTCACACTTCAAAGACCTTCTTACAAACCACTTTAATATTCAGAAGCATTTGATATACAATCACAACAGAACCATACCTTCATAGAATATCCTTAATTTGGAAAGGACCTACAAGGATGAATCACTGAGTTCAACTCCTGGCTCCACAAAGCACCAGTTAAAACCCAAACCCTACACATGAGAACCTTCTCCCGATGCTCCTGAGCTCCAGCAGCTCAGGGCTGTGCCCATTGCCCTGGGGCCTGTTCCATGCCCCTGCCCCCTGAAGCAGAGCCTTTCCTTCACCTTCCCTTCTGCTCCCTGTAGGAGCTGCAGCTGCCCTGAGACCTCCCCTCAGCCTGCTCTGCTCTGTGTGCCCAAACCTGCACGCAGTGCTGGAGGTAAGGCCATCCAGCACAGAGCAGAGGTGACAGCTCCTCCACTCATCTGGCTGGCAGTGCTGGGCCTGGTGCCCCCCAGGGTATGGGAAGTCATTGTGACTCACATTCAACTTGCCATCAACTGTAACCCCCAGATCCCTTTCTGCAGGACTGCTCTCCAGCCTCTCATCCCCCAGTCTGCATGCACATTCAGAACGATCCTGTCCCAGATGCAGAATAAGACTTCATGTGGCTGGTGACTGCCCAGTCCTTTATTCTGTCAAGACCTCTCTGCCCCTGAGGGATTCAAGGGCTCATCATGCTCATCAAGTTACTACAACATTTTACATACACTGTTACTGTATGTCCAGACAAGATTTTGACTGAGCTTGGGGGAAAATAGTAAAATAAATAAATAAATTAGTCTTCATCTTAGTTGAAACAGCGGAACTTATGAGGAATAAAACTAGACCTGATTAGACAAATTTATACAGCTATGCCAGATATCTGACACATTTTCATCTTAGGTCATTACTAATTTGGACCAACTAGAAGAGCAAGCCTCAAAGCAGTCACCTAAATGTTATTGCTTCTGTTGTTTTAGTGTGTTTGTAGGGAATCTACTCACATTGTTATCCAGTGTGTATCGTAACTGCTCCCAAACTGCTGAAACGTACCAAATAACTTTGGAAGAAGACGAAGTGAAACTACTACTGATCTAAAGGAGAGAGAAAGAATGACTCTAATGTGGCTGTTATGGAATTAAAGTAGCATTAGAATTACTTTGTGAAACTCCTGTTTCCTAACTGAAAGTATTTGAAAATACCAGCATGAAGTTTTCCCAGTTTTCTGTATCTGAACTTCGAATTGTTTATGTATCATTCCTTACACAAAGAGCTGTCAGAGAAGTATTGACATAAAACACTTATTCAAAAGTATCTGAATTTCAGAAGGTAAATTCTTATTTTTGAGTTTCATAATATATATCTTTGAAAATTTCAGCAAAATGAATACTTTTCTACAAACAGATGAAGGAGTAGAAATCAATCTCCCTTAAAAGGTCGAAGCAGATTAACAATGGTGTGTACTTTAGGACTGCTGTCTGCAAAAACTCAAGAAGTGCATAAACAGTATGTAGATGTCAACTTTCATGCCTGTAATTCGTATCTTCACAAGGCTATTAGTACCTCCGTATACTTGTATATTATCTCACAAACACAGTTCTTAGAGAAAAGGTAACAAGAAACGCTGCAGGTGCTTATCCAGCAGCTGACTAACAGAATCAACAGAATTACCCTTTTGCCAGTCTATCCGTACAATCTTACAATTCTGGCTGGTATTAAAAGAATTAAGGCCAAGGTACATCTTCATCCTCTAGCTGCTTCTTCACAGAAATTAAATCCCATAACAGATTTGGTGTATAAAATCTTGTCTGCTCACCAGTCACTTAAATGCAAAATTTAAATATTCAGTTCCAAATGCTTACACTAAGGCATCTGACTTTGTACTCAACTGCTTAAGATGTGGACTTGATTTTACCAATTGGTAGAAAGGCAGTGACCTCTGCTAGAAGGGAGAATAGACAAATGCAAGAATTGAGAAATTGAGGATGCTGACAGAATAGAAAAATGGGACATTAGACTTATTTGTAGCACTTTAGAAAAAATACATTTATATTTCCACTTCTGTTTCAACTTGCCTTCCTGCAAAATTAAGTAACTGATATATTCAACTTGGATTTCCCACATATGTTGAAAAAAAAAATATAAATGTAAAAAAAATAATTTCAGTTACCTGTTGTTTGCTAAATTTTCTAAGCAGCCTTCAATAAATCTCATTCGAATCTGTCTGTCAGTGAACCAGCATACTAAAGAACAGAGCAGCTTCTCTGCTTCATTTATTAACCCTTCCGAAAGATGAATCTACAGCAAGTAGAAAGAAAGGTCACTGAATAACATATATCTATTTTCTTTAAAAAAGTACTCTTTTCTGGTATTCAACTTACTGCATCTTCATCCTGGACCAGATCCCACAAAAGGGTATTTCCTTTCTTACAAACATTATCCAAATTAATGTCCGTCACTGCACTGCTATTATATTGATGTTTATGAACTGCTGGTCCTGAACAAAATATAAAGACCATTACTGAACAACTAGAAGGAACTATCTAAACATTATTCCCTCGGTGCATGAACAACATGCTTCATTTGTACATTTGGCTATTTTCAAGTCCATACAGCAACATAACAATCACAGCCTTTTTTGTCATATGATTTCTTAGAAGACAAAACATCATGACAGCGCAAGAAGTCAGCAGGGCAGTTAAGATAATATTTACATGCAACAAAATAGTGCATGTACAACAAAAACACTACTTAGCAGATACAGGTGCATTTCCTTTTTCATTTAATTAGATTTAATTAATTTAATTAGATTTAGTTCATATCAACATTTCTTAAGCTTTTCTGTAGCTTGTGCACTAACAGAAGGCATCTTTTTTAACTACTATTGTTGGAAAGCAAAAAAAAAAAAAAAAAGCAGCACATTTCAACAAATTGCTTTCACACTGATATATCCTATACATAACTCAAAACAGAAAAACAAACAAATTTTATACAACAGAGTATTACAGCTTATTATTTTAGAAACTGGTCATATTTTCATAAACAGTGATAGATGTTTCTTTCTTGCATGTGGTCACAGCTGGCATCATTCACTTATCTGCTACTTGATATTATTTCCGTTCAACAGCAAATCAAGTTGGAATTTTAGATTGTGTGTAGAACGTTAATTATACGTGAAAAACTGTGTCTCAGAAATAACCTGCACTGAAGACTTCATGCTCAAATAATAATTTGAATCTTCAGTAAAACGCACAATATGTATGGAAAAAAATTGCCAGTTTAGAACATCTTTTAACTAGGAAGTTTTGGCAGCATATCTCACTATGTCACTCCAAAACAGGTATCTTTCTTAATTTTCAGGGTCTAAAATTTTAGTTCAGTTTCAGATAACAAGAAATACTATGCCTACAGAAGAAACACTCAACCATGTTTCAGGAAAATACACGAACAGTACAGCTCTTCCTGACTGCTGGAGAGAAAGCAGACTTGGTTCTGCCGAACCAGTGAAAAACAGCATAAGATTTCAAACCCTTCACTAACCATATCCTTCTCCATTATACTTAAGAGGTGGATAAAACAATAAAAAAAGCTGCCACAAAAGCATATGTAAAGATAACACAATTCTTGCAAAGCTGCTTAAATGGCATCTGAAACTACACCATGAAGAACAGTAAAAGGTTTGCCAGTGAAAGCTAAAATAGCATAAAATGCCCTTTCACGAAAGCTCCTCTAGATAGCAAGTTGTATTTTAACTCATTTTGCAGAAGTTATCCTTTCAGAGTCCATCATGGTTAATTCACTTAAGATGATAAATGTATAAAATCATGGAAAGATTCACCCACCAGAAGAAAAGTCAGGTTTCAGGGGAAAAAATGTCTTTTCAGTAGCACTTTCCTGTAATAAAACTTGTCATGCCTCTTAGTGCCCTTGTTTAAACTTGTATGAAAAGCTCCAGTAGATATTTAAAAAAGGAAGAAAAGAAAAAAAAGAAAAGCTAAACACAGTTGTATCTAACACGATACGAAAACGAATTTAAGAAGAAACTGTTTTCTTTGGAAAACTACTTTTTTATACACAATAACACACATGTATGATTAAAACAATTTAAATATTAAATTTATTGGAGACTAATTTGAAATTATACAAAACTGAGCTGGAAGTTTTGTTTGTTTTTTTATAACTCTTACCTTGACTAAGATGTTCATGATAGATAGAGGCCAGGTTGGGAAGATGCTGCTGAAGATGAGATGTTAGCTCTGCATGTGAATTAATCTGTACAAGCTCTTCTTCACAGCCAGATTCTTCCCCATCAAAGTCAGCCATATTTTTCTCTGATTTTGCACTGACTTGAGAACTACTGCAACTGACATCATCTGCACTGAGCATATCATCAACCATATGCCTGTAAAAGAGGAACATTAGAACTGACATTATCAAGTAAGTTCTTCACAGCAGACTAACCAGATGAGAGTTAAAGCATCTTCTGGAAGAAAACTGAAGCATTACTATGCGATCAACTTATACAACACATAGCTTATCCATGTACTGCAATACACAACTGAAGTAATTTAAGTGAACTGTTATCTCTCTACAGCCAAAATCAGGCTGAATCATCTGAATAACAGACTTTCATATAAATTTGAGAAACAACTAAATTTGAGAAACAAATTAAAGGTCTCTCCATCATCATGACTCTGTTGGCTTCTTTAATTTTAGTTAAATAACAGCATTCTACAGAACAACTTTAACATGATATTCAATATTACTCTACTTATTTAATACAAAGACTTGATAAAAAACTAGTCACATTAACAAAACAGACTACTATATAACTATCTGTGATAAGCATCACTCCTGGCAAACAAAATTATCCTGGAGTATAGCAAAACAACCATTCAAATTTCTGATTCGAATATTTTGCCAACATCTTTATTTCTTCTAGTGGAGAAATCAGGAGAAATGTCAAGCTACCTACCCGTCATGATGATGATGGTGATGGTGATGATGGTGGTGATGCTGGGGACCAATGAACTGTCGACAGTTAAATAATTCATTTCCAATAGTTTCTCCAAGGAAGTCTCCTGTATGTGTTATACAAGAATCTTGAGACCCTTGCGAAATGCGAGCAGCGCTCATTTCCCCTGTCATGTCATGGTCTGCATCCTCAGCATGGGAACAGGCATCCAGTATTCTAATTCGATTATCCACAGGAGTTACAGAGTCAGCATTAAAAACATGGTCCTTTCCTGTCCCATTATTTGTACTGTTCCTCTCCGATGCCCCCTGTGAATCTCCCAGACAAATGTCTGTTTGTGATTCCAGTTTCCTGCTTCGTATATCTGTGCTCCTACTGTTTTTCTGGGGATTATGATTCCTATCCTCTTCTTCTTCATCCTCCTCCTCTTTGAGAGCTTCAATATCTGCAATGTCTTCAGACTGCACTTCGCTGCCAGGGCTTTCAGCAGACTGACTTGCATGACTGGAGTTGGCCTCATTACTGGATCCATCACTGTGGCCACTGCTACTACCAGGGCCACTACTGCCATCCTCACCGCTGTTTGCTGTCTCATCAGAGCTTCCTTGCATGGATTCCTGATTTTATTTTATTTTTCCAGATTGGTGGGAAAACAAAACACGATTGAAAATACAAAATTGACAATCATCATCCAAATATTATTCTTCCTTTACATGCGTCAGACCTAAAGTTTTCTTTCATTTTTTTCAGTTTTTTTTTGTTGTTGTTTTTTGTTTTTTTTTCAGTTCCATTGCCAATGACAAAATGCTTTGTGAAAAATCCAGATTTAAGAACTTAATTTCTGTATGATGGAATTCATAATAGGCTGTGGCCATTGCACAGGATCACAGAATCACCAAGTTTGGAAAAGACCTTCAAGATCATCCAGTCCAACTGTCCACCTACCACCCATATTTCCCACTAAACAATGTCCTCAATACAACATCTAAATGTTTCTGGAACACCTCCAGGGACAGCGACCCCACCACCTCCCTGGTCAGCACATTACAGCATCTGACCAAGAAGATTTGGATTACAACTAAAGGTTCCCCACTTATGCACACAAAGCCACATCAGAACATTTTTTCACTCAAAGAACTCAAAACTGTTCAATTTCTGAAAAAAAGTACAGGAAAAAAAAAGATATTTCCATAGCTTGTAACAGGCAATTCAACAACAAAATTCACAGACTAAACTTTAACATGCTTACCTCTGTATCTGAAAGTCGCTGTTGTACATGTTTTGTTCTGTTAATAAGCTGCTCCTCCATTTCAATATCACTACCTCCACTCTGATGGGTGTCGCTGTTGTCACTACTTTGAGGGCTAGCTGCTGGTGACCCTAGTTCAAAATCATGTTTCCTAGTTAATCTGCACTATGTATTAATTGGAATGTACATATTCATAAATCTGCTTCATATGTTGAAATGAAAAACATTCTAGCCACAAACATTTGAACAAGGAAGACAACCCAAACATCCTGAATGCCTCAGCACTAAAAATTCTTTTCAGAACACTATGCATTTTATAACAAAATTTGTATTCAGATAATTTCTTGTGCCAGTATGTAAAACAGATACACCACTTGGTTAGATTCTACGCTAAATATAATTTTCATTTAATTTTCATAGAATACATTTTCAAACTTGTACCAGCTTTTCTTCTACCCAAATAGCTCTATAAGAAACATAGCATGAAATATACAAAACATGGTGTTCTGCTAAATCTATACTTACAAGGCGAAGGGGCTGCTCTTCTGAGATCCTCCTCTGAAGAGAAAAACAGAACGGAAAATCAAGAACTAAAATTCTTTTTGCCAGTCTATAGCTGTCCATCATTCATAAAAATCAGAAGTAAGAAAAGTTAGTTGAACTACAGTATAATGCTTTGGAAGCACCTTTAGTAATGACTGCAGGAAAATACACACTCAAATAGAGAAAAAAACACAGAAATAGCAAGTAATATCAGCAACAAGGTAAAAAACAGATAAACTTTTGTAATATTTGATGTAGCTATAAAATTACAGCTGTTCTCCAGAACAAAAGTAGTTAACCGGTAAGCTGAACTATTCTTTTTTTTTTTTTAAATACATTAATTAATTAATTAATTAACTAATTAAAAATTAATTAATTTATTTAATTAATTAATTAAAATACAAACGAAAGAAAAATAAATACTACATGACGTGATATATAGAGCGGAGTTTGTTCATAGTATCTGGTATGATGATGTGTTTTGGTCTGGGAGATAAATACTGTTAATAACACACAAATGTTTTAGTTGTTGCTGAACAGTACTGTATTTAGAGAGCCAAGGACATTTCAGCTTCTTGAATTATCTTGCCAGAAAGGATACTGGGGAGGACCAAGCTGACCAAACCGGGTCAGCTGATCTAAAGGGTCAAAGGGATACCGCACACAATACTGACATTGATTGGAAAAAACAATCAAACTGAGGGAAACTGACTGGGGAAGGCAGCCTGTGCTCAGAAACTGGCTGGGCATCAGCCAGCGGTGAGCAATTATGGATTGCTTGCTTCGTAAATATAAATAAATAAATACACACATACATACGTACATATGTATGTATGTACTATTATTTCTCTCTTCCGTTTGGATTAGGAAAAGTTTTTATCTCAACTAATTAATTCTACTAATTCTACTTCTTCCTCTCTCTTTCCCCTGTCCCAGGCTGGAGGAGTGAGCAACAGCTCCATGGTACTTAGCAACCTGCTGGGTTAAAACCACAACTTGATGACGAATGCCTTCATCATTATTCTTTATTTTATTTTCTGCTTGAAAAATATGCCAGCAGGACCTTTCATTTATTTATTTATTTTAATACTTCAAGTAAAAAATGGGGGATACATAAATTAAAACTTTAACTACCAGATTGAATGGGATAAATACATACCTTTTTTGTTTCCTATTGGTAGATTAGTACTGAGTAAAGATGCAAAAGAGCTTTGTTTTGACAGCTGAGCTTTAGCTGCTAGTGCATTGTTCCACAGTGCTTTTATAAGCATTGATGCCAAATACAATGTCTACAAAGAAAATCAGGTAACAGTGCCATGAAGAAGCAGCAGGTTTTGTATGCAAAGATATATTGTTAATCTTTCAGTATGCCAATGCTACAAAATAAATGCATCAAAATAAACAAATGGAGAAAAAGAAGAAATATAGTATGGAACATGTTTTAACTTCATGTATAGTATAGACTATTATATCTACTTAATATATTTAATATTTTTATAATATATAAAACTATTTATGATTATGCAGACTTTAAAAGCCTCTGAAAAAAACTGCAGTTGTGAAGCAAGAAAAGCATACAGAAACATGACAGTTTTACTCATGTACATTCTTCTTTTATGCATTAGTGAATATTACTTTCATGCTTTCTTTTTGAATGATAAACACATAACTGCTAATTAAAATACTAACATAATTTCTTGTTGCAGTAATTTTGTTCATCTTTACCTGTTCAGTGTGAGCGCTTGGATGAAGAGTCGAGACTAGGTTAAGGAGATGCCTAAGTGGGACAGGGTCCAAGTTTTTGATCAAAGAAGGGAACAAATCGTGTATGTAACGACTGCAATGCTTCAGCTACAATGTACAAACAGAAAATATAACAAGTTTTACTGTAAAAAAAATATGGATAAAACTGAAACCTTTGCACAAATTCTTAATAAACGTTAGGCCAACAGCTCTAAACATCAGACTTGCAATTTTGACTGAATTTTTACATTCCATGGCAGGCTAAGTTAAATGATATCACATGTAATATCACCACATATCTTCTTTAGTTTTAGATCCAGTAGGAGCTTTGGGCAAAAGAACAAGTTATGTTCGCAGGTTAATTTAAAGAAAACACCTGAAATATTAGTTCATATGTTAAATCTTGAGGAGAATAGTATTTACTATTAGTATTATTTACTATTCAGTAAAAAGGATTAACTGACAAGCAAGTGTTAAGTAATATAAGTCAGAGAGAACTGTCGTGTTTAGGACTTCATGGTAATGCCAAAAAATACAACAGCTAACTACATATTTAAGGATATATGGTGACAGTACACATAAATACTTCTTAGGTTAAACGCTGCTCAAAGTCAAAGAGTTTCATTATGTTCAGAAGGATGCTGGTAACTCTAAAATAATGTCCAAAGATATTCTTGGAAAAAAATCAAACAAACACTGCTAATGTTGGTTATCACAAACACTACAAAAGGGTGTTTTTCTCCTCATTTATTCATTTTACTTTTCCTTCCTGTAGTATACAATATCTATGTAAGGAGTTCATGGGGTACATGTATTTACTGAAACTAGAATGAAATCACGTGGGACCTACACAAGGTTGCATTTAAACATAATGAATATCAGGAACATTCTTAGATAACCTGCTTTAATTCAGAGAATTCTTATGCCAAAACATTAGTTAAAAGAACAAAAAGCAAACAGTTCAAGGTTTTGGACTATATGACCTTTAAAGGTCCCTTCCAACTCTAAGAGCTTCTTCCATGATTCTTTTAGTCCATAGCTGTCACCCTTTCAGACGTTAGAGGTTTAAACCTTTTACATAAAGCAATCCAGGCGTAACTTAATTCAGATATGAAACACATTTTGAAAATATCAAGACATTAAAATGGGCATCTGATCTTTAAAATAAATATCATAATATGGACAATTATATTTTAAAAACATAAGAGAAAAACGTAGAGTGCCAACAGTAGTATGAACTAGCGTATGTGTGAGAATAGCAAAGTTGATTAAGTACCTGCAAGTGCTCTGAAAGTAATGCCTCCTATTTATTTCCACAGAAACAACAACAGATAAAAAGAGAACAGCACTATTTGATACAGCAAATTCCCAGCTGCAAAACACTATTCTTCAACATAATCACCATTAGCTGTGCACTTTCACCACAAATGAACAAAAGCCTGCATCTGCACAGCTATCTGGAACATGGATTGTCTTTCATGTTGTCACTGCTGCAGACACTCACCACCCCACACCTCATGGTGTCTACATGCACTGTTTGGTCTCTATTAAACCTTCAGTGAGTGTCAATGAATGTCAATGGGGGCCATTTTTTATGCCTGGAGGAATTCAGTGACACAACTTTGCATCATACACACTTCCACATCAGATGTGATATTGTCAGATTACCCCTCTGCTGCCATCTGCCACATGGCATTAAAAGGTAACAGAAAACTGTCAAGGAGGTTAAGCCTCCACTGCCATATCATCAACATCCTCCTCTGACATCGTGAGCCAATATCATAAAATTGAAATAATTAACCTGACACAGAAAAATGTTGAAGCCTGTTACAGTGAATATTATAACAAGCACAATGACATTTCGGCTGAATTTCATAATGACAATGGACTACAAAGTTTACAGAATGTTTACAGCAGTATTTGAAACTAAATAGACACTAATACACTGCTGAACAGAGGAAAAAGAAAAAAACTGTAACTCGTGTAAAAGTAAGTTCCAAAGTTCCATGTATCTGTTCTGTCCTTCATTTTGTGTGTATTTTTTTTCTGGAAAACCAACAGTGAAAACTTAAAAGTTTCTTTCTTTTGTGTGGACCTCTTTTTTTTTTTTTTTTTTTTTTTTTTTTTTTTTTTTTTAAAATTAATAAATTTTAAAGGTAGAATGAAACCATGGAAAAAGTTCGTACAGCAGGTTACCAGAATGTCTGATAACTGTATTCAAATGTCCTAAGGAAAAAGAAGCCATCCGTAATTTAAAAGAAACAGCATAATAATAAATGCAAATTAGTAAAATAATGTATTTTTCTGAAGGAAAAAAAAGCTTATCAGAGTTTCCAGTCTACCAAGCAAAAAGTAAAATCTTACTGCATTCTGTAGACTTCAGCACCAGCACTGAAGTACACCTGTGAACTTCACTGTTGCAATTTTCATCATCTGTATCTCACCAAGTAGTGAAGTGCAAGTTATATGAAGAAGGAGCAAGGCAACTTACCACAACAGTAATAATATAATCTTATATTATATAATCTTATAATCTTTGTCCCTATTCTTGGTGAAAACACTATGACTTCAATAAACATAGAAACAGCTTAGTAAAATCTGAGTAACTAATGAAAAAAATTAATTGTGGAAGTTTTCTAAATCAAAATGTGGTAAGCCAAACATTCCAATAAACAAAGAAAAATCCAAGGAACTCAACTTTATGCATGTAAAATAAAATTACCTTGCCATTTTCCGATTTTTGTATTGCTTCTGCAATTATTAAATAAAATCATAATTAAATAAATAAAAACATATACCTGTGCTGCAGCCCAAATACAGTCTATATGTTGAGTACTAAGTCTCCCTTCGGCTGCAAGGAAATTCAGAATCACTTGGCACTGTTTGATGATCTGCAAAGTGAAAACATATTGAGGAAAGATATACTAGAACAAGTTAGGCCTTGATATCCACACCAAAAATGACCGACATAATTTTATACAAACCTCAATGTGTATGTTTGGTCCAAAAATGTGTTCAACTACATTGTTGTTGATAAGCCAGTCTGCAAGCTCTTTTGCAATTGACCTAGAGATGGGAGGGGAGGAAAAAAAAAAAAAAGAAAGAAAAAAAAAAAAAAAAAGGAGGGGAGGAAATATATGTAAAAACTAACTTTCTATAATAAATATCCAGTACTCTTCCCTAGCACACAATTTCATTTAAATTAACATCTATAATTACGGTAAGCATAAAAAAATGTTTCTGAACACAGTACATTCATTCACTGCTCTCTGTAGTTTTACTTCAGTAGGAAGACCAATGCCAAACATCAACATTTCCCATTTATCCCTCTAGATTGACAGCAAACATGTAAACAACAATTATACCAATTTTTTTACTGCTTAGAGTTCAAAGACCACTGTAAGACTACTTTCAGAGACTTTACAGGAAGTTTTTTGATTTAAAAAAGCTGCTATTTCATCTGAGTTTATAATAAAATTCCAAAACAACTACTGAGTTTGCAAATGTAACTAAAGCGATGTAAATGATTTTTATAAGAAAAGCCCTTAAACATTTTTTAGATTTTCCAGAGTAAACAGCAATTCATACAGTTTCAAAAACCTATGTATTTACATTGCCAAACTTACAGATACAGACAGCACACAGATATTTTAAAATCTTCATCTTGTTCCATCCACAGCAATGGACAATCATTGACAATCCATAATGAAATATTCAAACAGAACAAGACAAGGAATCTGAATTTTCCAAAATAAAAGTTATAAATAAAAATTCCAAAACTAACTGCCCAGCCTGGAAACTAGTATATAACCTCCTTTTTATGCATTGTACATTGAAGCGTTTGTTATTCCAGATTTTGGCAATTAGAACACATTTCAGTACTTAAAGTACAGTCCCTAGTTTAAATGATGCTGAAATAAAAGTGCTCTGTCACACAAACAAGAGAGAAGGGGAGAGAATGGGTTTCTCAGAGGAGTACAGGAATAATTATCTTTTACCACTATTACCTGTGCTGCAAATACAGCCACTATTACTGTGGATTACAAAGACTGTCAGTCTTAGAACTACAATAAAATTGTTTTTTTAGGTAAAAAAGGATTTCCCTGCAGGCAATTGAAAATCAAATTCACCTTTTTGCAGCATACTGCCAATTCCACGGTTGTTCTGAACTGTCTGATTGCTACAGATGAATTCCTACACTGCCTCATTCCATTCTAAAGTTCTTTGAAATATGATTTGAAAAAAGTAAGGTCCCCCAGACAGTTATGAACTAACTGGTTTGCAAGATCTGACAATTTAACAACGCTATCATTTGTGACTTGCTAATAAACCGAGGTAGAGGTAGAGTATCTGCTCAGAAAAGAGCTTAAAAAAGGTACATTGGGTCTATTTTGTTTTTATTTAACTTCCAACAGCCTCATTAAATAAATAAAAAAATAAAATTAACCACTACTCATAAAACTTCAGACACCAATCCCAAGCCAAACTTCAGAGTATGCATTTTACATATGCATTCAGAAATCGGTTTGTAACAAAATATGAAGAAACGTTCTCATATGGGATCTTACATATTTTACAGCTGAAGCTGTTATTCGATTGAATATATCTACCAGTATCCCTTGAAGACCAAAATGGCTCTGAACAACACTCTTATCCATCTGCCTCCATGTTGACAAGCAGAAGTGAGTACAGTGGCACTGTCCATATAGCTCAAGAGCTTGTAGCCCTGTGACTTTTCATGCCGTTAGATCACTAGTCTTGGCATTACCCTCAAGACCAGAATAATAGAAAACAGAGTTCTCACAGATTTACTTGTGAAATGTGAGCAATCAGTTTAATTTCTTATGTGAGAAAAATGGTCTTTACTCTTGTTTCATATGTAAACTGCATGGTAGCAAAATAAATGAATTTGTTACTGATGAAGAGCCAATCAACATAAGGACTACAATGTAAGTATTCTGGGAAGTAATAAACCTACAGTGTATACACACTCATAAGGAGCAGTGATGGAATTCAAAATCAAAAATCACCATCTGTCTTACATTACAGTTTCCCAGCCCCACATTCTTGAACACTGAATGTCACTCCCTCCTTTACAGTCAGTTTGCTTCCTACTTAACTCTTACTGCTTTGTACTGCTTTGTCCTACTGTGGTTGAAAGGATCCTGCTACATGACACAGCCAAAAAGCATTAGTTTTCATTCTTCTCATATAAAAGGTAGACAGACCTGGTGACACGACTGAACATACACCCACTGGGTGCAGGAGATCTGAATGGAGACATTTCTGACTATGAAATTTGAAGAAACATAACATGCCTGAAAAACACTTCAGAGTTAACACCAGAGTTATAAGTCAATTGAAGTAATTTTCTTCCAGCACCACTTAGTTTCTTCTGGGATCTGGATTGTTGGATCTGTATCGGTGACAACAAACCCCAGGTAAACACTGCCAGATTCACTGTTATTGCTAATCCGGAAGGACACAAGACACAGTGCTCAGTATGACACAATAGCCATTAGATGCTGTACTCAGAGTTATACGTTGTATTCTGGCTACCTCAAAGAAAAGAAAGAGAACTCTTTCCTGAGTTGGCTCCTACGCCATCTTATTAAAGAAGTATAACAACTCTTCATCTCTAGTCTGCAAGTTTTCTTCTGAGAAATAATGGATTACTCCTCTGAAGGAATGCCCTTTTTTAATACATGTATTCTCAAAGATAAGATTTTTTTTGCCTAGCGGTTTTCCTTGAATGTTTCTTCACACTTGAAAACAGACTGAACACCTTAACTCACAAGCAATTTCAGAACCTCACACAAACAAAAAAGCAGAGCAATCTTGAACAACTTTTTACAACAAACCTAGTAAGTATAATCTTCAGTATTTTCACAGATTTCACTTTGATTTACAGCTATATTAACATTCCTGTATATATAGTCTATATTCTTCAAAAGAAAGAAGTACTCTTTCACAGAATGATTTGCAAATTATTATATGATTACTAGTATGTAATACCACTATATGTCAGATAATCCATAGAGGTATGCTCTTCCCTCTAATATGAAAGCAGCTGTACAAAGAACTGTTCTACAAACAACATATTTAAGCCCTCGACACTTAAGATTTGAGAACATTCACCTTTGAAATAACACGTATCAGCTCTCTGTGGTAGATTTAGTAAAGGCAAAAGGAGAAAATGAAGTGAGGGGAGCAGACATGCTAGTTTAATTGTCTCTAAATCTCTCTCTGGCTGGAAACCTACACAAAATATTGGGCTAGACAACCTCTAGGCTTCATTAATTTCTCCCTAAACTTTTAATAGAATTTACAATCAATTAATGTCTTTTGAAAACAGATGTTCTAGTTCCAAGAAATTGTGTTGAAACTGTGTTAAAATCCTAGAAAGATTTTAAGCTAAGGCTGAGGTGGGATACTTGATAACCACAGAAACATCCAGATTCAGGAACCAATCCCACACCAAAGTAACCCCCCAAAACAAAATCTTATTTACCCAACCAGTCTATTCCCATTACAATCCACCATGCAGCTACAGAAACACATCAGCTCAGTACTGGATAAAATCCAGCAATGTTTCTGAAAAAAACGTAATTCAAAAACTCAAAAAAAAAAAAAAAAAAAAAAAAACCACAGCAAAAACAAGTAGCTTGCAAAGAATGAACACTAACATTTCTTGACTAGATCACTGAAATATAGCCTTTGAATATAATCACAAACAGGAAGAGTTGATCTTAACTATTTAGGGTCAGAAATGTGAACAGCACATAGCAGCCACTTTCCCAACAAACATTCAAGTTCTTTTGTTGTTTTTTTTTTTTTTTTTTATTTTAATCAGCATACATCTCCCTATTTGACAAGCACCAGAAGTATAACACAGTTGAACTACAATGTGTGCCACTAGAAAGAAATACTAGAGAGCTGAGTGAGTAACTACAGTATTCTGTTATTCTGTTTTCAGAAAACCTGGGAAGATCCATATGAACGTGGAAATAGAGAGAGGGGAAAGTGGCTTTTAAAATCAAGTTGCTATAAACTCAATTGGTGAGCCAAGGCAAAATACAAGAATGTACTCAACAAACTAACAAAACAGTAGTGAAGGAAAAAACCAACACAAAACTTGCAGCTTAATATCTGCTTAAGAGAGAAGAGAAAGAAGAAACAATTTAGATCCCTATGTTGACAGGTGATGTGAATTTTTAGTGAGGTCAGTTAGGTTCTAAAATGAGGAGGGAAGTCATCTCAGCTTCAGCCTGAACTCCAAAACTCAAATTCCTGGCCTGCAAAGTGCTGATATTGCTGTTTTCACAAACCAACAGTTCCTCATTAAGGAAAAGAAGACTACTTTCTCCTCTTACAGTCCATATAGGAAAAAAATCATTCTCTCCATTAAGAAAATGACCAGTTTTCAGAAAGTCACATCAGTCAAATAGTTTTAGATATCACTATTCAAAACCAAGAAGACTCTTTTATTCAATCTCATTGCTTTACCTCTGGTAAATTTCACATTCCTCAAAACCCATATTCCTCAATACCCTAGATAGTGCCTTAGATATTGGTATTATTTTATTATTTTGATACCAAAAATTAGATTCTAACTTAAAAACCAGGAACACCAAAATTACAGGTATCATTCTGATGGATAAAGTTGAGTCAGCAAGACACAGCACGCAGCTGGACAGTATCAATCAGCACGAACCCTCAACCCTGCAGAAGACAAGTCAAGTATACTGAATGTAAAAAGACATGCAAATATCTACAGCTAGAGAACAGATTTCCCTTAGTTTTCTGCTGCTTCCCAGTGAAAGCTGTAAAATCCAACATTCTCCCTAGGCAAAAAATACTTCAGCTTGTCTTACAGAAAAATCTGCAATCCATGCAGATAAAGGCGGGAAGCTACTGTTGCAAAATATTTGCAAAAAAAAATCTGATACTTCCATACAGGAGGAAGAGCTAGAACTACCTTGTAGCTCTTAAAAGGAAAAAAAAAAAAAAAAAAAAAAAAAAAAAAAAAAAGATACCTCCTGCAAACCCACCTTATAAAGATATAGAAGCAGAAACTGCAAAGGTTGACAGTTCCAAATGCATCTGAAAAAGTCAAAACACATAAGTGGGAAGACCACAAATAATGGAAAACATCTTTCTTTGATAAATCTGCAGAGGCTACAAAGGTACAAAATAAATAAGACTTCTCCTCTGACCAAGGAAAAAAAATAAGATTGAAGTGCTTTCCTTTTGCTGTCAATTCCACAAGCGCTTTCTGATCCAAAAATTTCTCATGAATTAAGTCTAGTGAGAGAGAAGCTTTGTACTGAAAGAACTGCAGAAGAAAGACATTTTTCCCCATCCTTCTGTGTCAAACTTTTGTGATTATTTGGCCGGCAAAATAATAGGATACGTGATTCCAAAATGTGAATACAAGTAGCAACACTTGGTATTGATTTGTACCCAATTTGTCAGGTAAAATATCAGAATGACTGGAATTCAAATTAGAAAAAAAATCACATACTACAAACATGGGAAAAAAGGTATTCTGTTAACAATGCATTCCTTTCAAATGACATGCTTACAGATGCCCTTGCCAAGAAAGTAATATCCCAGAGGAGAACTTGACAATTTCCTTTAGCTTTAAGATAACTGATCTTTTTCCACAGTACATCTACTCTTCTTCAGGGAAATTTAACACCCTCTTTTTTGTGCTCCTCAATTTGTTACTACTTGTTAAACAATTCACTCACAATGTATTTCACAAAATAAACCAAGAAACACCTCAGTTTCAGATTCATAGCATGAAGCAAGGAGGAGAAAGAATGGATAAAACATGTTTGCCCGTCCCAGAGTAACAATACACCATGAACTGGCAGTACAAGACTGAAAACACCCCAGTCAACCAAGCCACCTCACTTAAAATCTTTCTACTGCATAACCTAAAAGCTAGTTTTATTCCTGCAGTATTTGCTTCTACTGATATCGAACGAAAGGCTTTGGAAAAAAACCACACCTGCTAGGGCACAAATAATTTATTAGAATACTGCAAATATTGAGAAATGTACATTTGCTTAGTGAAATTGCGTTCAGGTTTCACCAGATTATAGTGAGATATTTACATCACACTCGAAGGTAATTCTATTTTTTTTTTCCTGATACTATGTATCAAAATTCACTTCTAAATAAATGGATGTCATGTTCCAATAAACAGACTCATGTCCACCTATTCATTTAATGATGAATGACTTGAACAAAAAGACTGCAAGCAGTCTTCGGTTTGTATTCTCAAGGTATTTCCACATTTTTCTGGAAGCAAAAATATCATAGATTCTCATTCTTTTTAGAGTATCAACTTATTAACACAAATTCCACAAAGCATTTAAGTTGCTATTCACATGAACTTCACAACACTGCAATCAAAAACTGCAATAGGACTGCTGCTAGAGCTAAATAAGCAAGTGTTAAAGAAAACCAACTAACTACATAAAAAAAGGAAGCCAACTGCTGCTGTCATACACACTGCTAACATGGAAAAGATACTGGAGGTTGTGTGCATCTAGTGAAACAAGATAAACATGTGGATACAATCCCTAAGGTATGAGGAAAGTACCTATTTTAAGTAAAATCCTATGTTTTAGAGAATTTGTCTAGGAATTCAAAAGAATGCTTATTTCAGCCACCTAAATAGAAAATTTTGTCTAAATCATAAACAGTTCTAATGTTAAGTTTAAAGCTGTCCAAACATAATACATTTCCTTAATGGAATACAATCCCACGCATTAAACTTCACAGAGATTTATAGGAGTTGTGTTTAAAATTGTTACACTCACCTGAAAGGGATTTTGGAAAAAAAAAAAAAAAAAGAAAAAACAAGCAACAAAAACCTGTTCTAAAAGCACTTTCTCACAAAATTTGGAAAACTAGTAACAAGAATGGGTGCCAGTGACAGAAAAACAAGTCTTAGTTAACTACAATATTAGAAGCAATGAAATGACAGCAAAAATACTACTTGGATATGAGTTAGCTAGTTCATATTTATACTTCATAGCTGTTACAGGAATTTATTATTTCATAATCTACATTTTCCTAAAGGTTACCTTATCTCCTTCAAAAAAAACAGTAAAAAAATCCACAAACATTTAGTAATACTTCAGAAATAACCATTTAAAAACATTTATTACACCCCGATAAAAATATTTCTCACAAACAGCTCAGATGATCAGATTCCCAATGTTTTAAATCTACAACAATACAGAACTGCAATCATACAGAGCAGTTGAAGTATGTAATATTCCTACTTACGTTTCTGTGTCTGAAACTAATGACTCATTATTACAGACATCATTGAAGGTATGAAGTTGATTCTATAGTTAGAAAAAGGAAGAAGAAAATAAAATGTTATCTAAATATGTTGTAAAGTAGTTCTGCTATATTTATAAATAATATTAGTAACAGAAAAGACATCTTTATAGTTCTTGCAGTGATTTTAAGTAAACTCAAAAATTTAAACACGCACTCTAGCAGGCAAGCAGGATTGGTCTTACTTATTTATTCATTCTTTTAAATCAACAATTCTTTTACTAAACCAGTTAAACAGTGTTAGAAAACTGTCCTCAACAGAAATCAAATGAAGGCATCTGGTAGTATCATTGCACGTAGCTCTTCATGAGTAATGAAACACACACTCTTAACAGAGGCTTCAGGATGAGTCTCTGTATCATTACGGAACTTACTACAACAGTAAAGACCTCATTATTGGTAATGTGGCAAAAAAAAAAGTCTACAAAGTGAGTTAAAATTTCAATATTCATAAAAATAGTGGAGGTTTTTTTTAATTTTTAACAAGATGTCTTAAAGAAATCAACCTGTTAAAGGATCACGTCTCTCATGTTCTTTCTCACATTTATAAAACACCTCAGTAAATACGTCCATGAACCAAAACCTTTTCTGACTGTATACTAATCGTAATTTTGTTCAGGTTGCTAAAATTTATTGTTAATACCCTCAAAAGCCAAGAATTCTGAAAAGCTATATTTGATAGTGGGTTTAGTTAGTTTGTTGTCAAATTGTAATGCCTTACTCTATTTACAGGAAAGCAATTTTATTTGTTACAAAAGTGTATTAACTCCATGCTCTGAAACTACAAATAAACTTATTGACAGAACTGCCTCATATCACTATCAAGTTATTTCAACCTTCTCCTATTGTTAATTTAAGGAGATTGGAATAACTTGGTGCAGAATAGCTTGCATTATTGCCATCTATAAGAAGATAAAGCTGTCTTCAGAAGCATAAGCCCACTACCATGATCTAAAACTTAGTTCAATGCTGCATGAGAAAAGCGAATCGTTTCAATACCTGAATGTTATGATAGAGGAGGATGACAGAGTACACTAGCAGAACTGGAATTTTAAAATAAAAACTACACACAGATTTGACAAGTATGTTTTGCAGAAACTACAGACTGCAAATCCCAAGGCTGTCAATTATACAGACTAAACAATTTTTTTATGCACCTTTAAACATTTGGAATTTCTCTAGTATTTAGAAAAGCTTTCCATAAGAAATTCCTCTGGAGAAGTGCTCTCAAAGAAAATAATGAGATAGCTTTAATTATCTATTGTACAACTTGACATTATTGGATGAAACCATACTGGTTTTCCTCTGTGTTTGTAAGTTAAGGACTTTTAATAAAAAATACTCATTTCAAATGAAAAGAATAAAATTCCCATGAGCTTTCTCTTTCCCTCAGCTTCAACCTTCCAGAAACACAGGTGGCTCTGCGACCAATTATTTACATGAACATATTTTCAACATTTAAAGTTATGTAATAAAGCTTATTTGTTGATTTGTCATTTTAAAAAAAAGGCATTGCAATGGAATTTTTGAAATTCCGATCAAACTTGTCGCTTCACTTCATCAAAAGGGTTATTCTTTTCTTCCTTGCTACAACTCAAGATCATGCGCTCCATAATTCTGTTGACAGTTAATCTCCTTCAAACTGTACACAAATATTTATACCTAATCCCAAAAATTTTAAGAGGGGAAAAAAGGTGTTTTTTAAGAAACAAAATTGAATATGAGTAAAAATTAGTGAGACATGCAAGCTAGATTATGCAATGATTAACAAATAAGTTATTAATAGTAATTTTCAACGAAATACAGGATATGTTGTTTTTTTTTTTTTCCAGTGAAACATGGAACAGAACTTAACAAACAAGTTGACTGATTAGAACTGGGTCAAATAAAGTGAAAGGTAACTGGAGTTTCTGAATACATTTTCAAATTGATCAGAAAGTGAGAGTATCAAAGTATGACTATCACCAATTTTAAATCTATGGTCACATGTTGACTCAAATTTCCCATACAGAATTCTTATCCAAAGGAATTTTGTCAAAAGGTGACATTTATTATATTTGCAGGTTCATATGATTTCAACAACTAAAGACTTAGATTTTTGACATAACAGTGCAATACAAAGTACATATGGGAAAGTGATGCACCACCTTGTTCTCACTCACCTGGTAAAAAAGTTTTCACTTCATGATATGTTATCATTAAATGTCAAAGACAATAACATTTTTCAATTTTTTGTGATATATATGAAAGACTTCAAGAAACTGAAGACACCTCTGCCCAGACATTCAATCCATCTAATAAAGATGTTCTGGTTACTGAGTACAACAGAAGGAAAACAAAGAAAGCTAAGAATGGAAAGCAATCTCCCTAGCTACTCGTGTGTCATGGTCCAGTCATCAAGGGAAATTAAACTTTCTACACAGGAAACCAATGCAGGAAGAAATAAATGTGCACTGTCTAATTTCTGTACTGATTTTTATTTTTTCCTGGGAAAATCCTATAACGCTACATTTCTATCTTCACTAAAAACCTGGAAAAAAAAAAGAATGTCCAGATAAGTTATGAATATTTATTCCTACATATTTAAGTTAATTTCTAACTAAGTAGAAGAATTTGGAAATAAAAAAAGAAAAGAATCCTATCTGTGATACAATAGCAGACACAGAAAAGGGAACTTAGGAACTGAATGACAGGGAAATGAAACTAAAGTGGGACAAGGTAAAAACTTCTGGTGTATCTTGGTTTTCTGTAGCTATTTCCAATTTGAAATTCAACCACTCAAGCTTCGTCTTTGCTAAAATTAACCTGCAAGTGTCTATCTCCAACCTTGTTTTGTAAATAAGAACTTAAGTCAGATGATATGACACATTATGTATACACTACTCCTCAAGAGAGGTAAGTCTGTATTTGGTGGTAAGCAGATACAATCCCCGTACGCCATACAGCATGTATTCTGTGAGTCTCAAGAGTTTCCATGGAACTGAAAGGTTTAATTTTAGGACTGGTCATGTCAGACCAAATAGACCAAAACCAAATCCTCAGTTTTAGACAAATAAAAGTTGAAGAATGGAAAATATTTTGCAGTTTTCTTTATTCTAAAGTCTTGAATACAAAATGGAAAGCTGAAATTGCATTGATTGGGTAGAATAATTCAATGAAATTACTTTGACAAATTCTAGCCACCAAAGTCATGAGTAGAAAAGAAAACTTCATAAAAGTAGTCAAGAGAGCATATCAGTAAAAGACAAGATTGTGTGAAAACACTAAGTGGTTTCATGATATTTTTGCAAACAGATCCTTGTTTGCAGTCAAACTTCCTGTAAATTTTGGCTCAAATTTCACAGATCTGGCAATTAAAACTGCTCCTGGCAAAGCAAATAAACTAAATGAACCAAAGCTCAAAAGTCAAGAAAAAGCGTTAGATGCCTCCAAAGATTCTTCCATGAGATCTTTAAAAATAGAACCAAAAAAGAAAATTCCCCATGATTTGAATGAAAAAGAATAATGACTTGTCTCTGAGTTCCAAGTAGTTTTATAGACTATTTATATAAAAAAGACTCAATAATTTATTAAAAAACAACATAACAGAGTTTTTTTTCACATGCTGAAACCTATTTGCTTTAGTCGAAAAATACTGCAAAATGTTGCTTTTGATAATATCTGTTGCTAAAAATCTCACTTTGTCACTCAACAACCATTGATTGCAATATGTCAAACCGTAACTATTTAAAGAGACACAATTTAACATTCCCCTAAAAGAACAAAATGCATAAAGATTAAACTCATGCATTCGTTTTGCATATGGATATGCACAAAGTAGCTGACAAAATCAACCGCTCAAAACTGAAGTGCTACGGTAATAACACAATGTAACTCAAACACTGGAGATTTACTCTTAAACCAGTGATACTAGAAATTACATTTTCCAAATCAATACAGAATAAAATTTCAAAAAGTGTGGCAGAGGGAAATTCCTTCCACATCCAAGCAATGACCATATTTTTAAATATATCTACGAGGTATGTTAAGAGATCTGTAACTCTACAAACATTAATGTAAATGGCAATGAAAAATCCAAACAAAAACAGACGCTGTATTTCCAGCCTAGGACTTCACAATCCTCCCAAGTTTTTGCACTATACAAAACAAACCTGAAAATTCACTTTATACTAATGAGGACAGAAAATCAGAATTCAAGCATCATGCATACTATGAATAGCATTTATGCAAAGTCAAAAATTATCTATGCATATAAACAGTAACAAATACACACTATCATTATTTCTTCTAAAGGTTAAAATTCTCTGTAGTTTGCTTTAGCATCTCTATTGAGTTAACTGTCTTATGTTTTCTACTATATAAGTGCAAAACTAAATAACAATGGATTTGGGTACAAGAAGTACAGAATCTCTTAAAATAGCATTTAATACTGCATGGATATAATTTACATATTTTTTTTAAATGTAGGAGGTCATGCGTCAACGCAAATTAATTACTGGTGTTTTTAAACAAAAATACACATATTCTAATGGAAAACACAGGTTTTTTTAAATTTTAAATTAACATTGTTATTTTAAATATTTAAATTGGTCAAAAATGCAACTGTAAATAATTCTACGTATAACTACAGTGAAAAGTAAAATGAAATCTACGTAAACCTGTCTTGTATTTACTGACACTCAGTGATGAGCAGAATAATTGAGTGACACTTTGTAATCTAATAGAGAAGAAGTTAAATGTGTCCAGAAAAGACTGCAAATCATTCAACCATTCTATAACATTTCGTCTCTATTCATCGTTTTTTCTATTAAGGCGGACACGACAATAAGTCTTATAAATCTTATATTTAAGATTGTCAAACAAACCCAAAAACTGAGAAGACTCAGATTAGTAACGTTCACTTCTGTCCCAGTATGACTTGAATGCATATGTTGGAAACAATGACTGACAAAGGATGCACAATGTACACTGACTAGTGATGTGCACAACATTTCCACGGGAAAGACAAAACTGAGGATTTTTGTTTTAAATGTACTTATATTTTTTGCTGTATATATTGATCTTCTCAATTCAATTTCTGTTAATTGATGCAGAAATGCACTCTCTTGATTAAGAGACTATACAAAACAAACAGGAAAACGGTACATATGATACAGAGAGGCAGCCAATTACAGTAATCAAAACAGTGCGAAGGTGAAAATCAAAACATTGCTTTGTGGTAAGCAACAAATATAGCCATGTCAAGGGATTTAATTTCACACAGCTGACACAAAACATATTTAAAACACAGTTGTGTTTAGGATGGTAAATTGTTCAGGGAATACTTTACACTCATATCTCTCAGTGAACCATTCACAACCACGACTATAACTTCCTAATATTGCATAGATTAGGATTCCGCTGTTTTCACACATTAAAAAAAAAAAAAAAAAAAAAACCTGAAAAACAAGTCAGAAATTTGTAAGGCACAAAAAGACATTTTCTTCTAAAAATTATTATATTTTTAAAAGAGTTCTTACTGTTATTTGACTCAGCCCAGCCAATCTCATTGTTAGAGTTGGAGACATAAAGTATTTAAACGCAAGATCAAGACTTTCTTTATCAAAGCACAAAGCAGTATCCAGTGGCTCTTTAACTGTGCTCCACATTAAATCTGCCATGTTCCGGGCTGCACTCTGTCGTAACTCCTGGTCTGATAGTTTACATAAATACCTAGAATAAATTACAAAAGGAAGAATAGAAAAAAGAATGTGATTCAAACTAGAACACTCCTGAAATACATCTGGATTATAGCAAGTACGTATTTCCAACAGCCCTAAGAGTACTAAGCCTTAAAATACCATTATCAATAGTCTATCAAAAGTTGACAACAATGAAAAAACCACTATGGAATCAGATAAAATATTATAAAAAATAAATACATTTCTTATTTTAAACCTCTTCAAATTTATTTTCAGAAGAAACAGATTTATGTAGAATGGCACAAATCTCTTGCAGTTCTTTGGAGAGGCAGATTAGAAGCCTTCAGTATTTCAACTCCATCCAAACTAAATTTAAATACACAAAAATATAGTATAAATACGTTTGACAGTCTTGAATCTGGACCCATCCTGGGAAGACTTGGCAAATATAAGAGAATATTATAAAATGCAAAAGAGATATTAAACTGCACTTAATTACACTTGCACACTATTCTTTCGCACTGCTGTATAAACATCAGTAAATTTAAAAAACAACACAAAAAACCTACAGGCCTTCTTTCTTAGACTGAGGTCCTTTCTCGTAGCTCTTGTGTAGAGGCCTTAAAATAAACACACTCCAGTGATACTTAACATTGTTAAACACAGAAAAGATGCTCTAGTGCAAATGATCAGAGACTACATCCATAACAGAAATCATGGCTAAGTTAAAGAAAGACAAGATAAGGACCACTGAAGGTCCTTATTAATTATGAAATTTACTTCTTACACGGAGCAGTGGAAGTCAGATAATGGTATGCTTCTGTGCTATGATTTCTAAACAAAACTGACAATGAAAAGGCACAACTCACTTGAAAGAGTTCAGCAGCAAACCAGAGCCAGTAAACTACATCAAATCTACAGACAGGTGACAGGAGCTGCACTCTGACAAAATAAATTAACTGGTCCATGGTACAAAATGTAATCATTTCAACTCTCAGCAACTTTTGACCAATTTTTACCTCCACATTTTTATATGCAAACTATAATTAGCCCTTGTTCCCAAAGTTCTTCAATCATAATATGCATTGTCATATTTTAGACAAGAAATCCAAAAGACCAAAGATCTTAAAAGAAATTATATGTAGAATGAAAAAAAATTGCGTAAGTTTCCTGGTTTCAGCTAGGACAGTTGTTTTTTTTCCCCTCATCCTGTCTGGTTTGATACTACGTCTCAACTCTGGGAGAAAAACAGTATTGATCGTACACTGATGCTTTAGATGTTGCTGAGCAGTGCTGTACAGAGAGCAAAGGACATTTCATTTCCTTGTACTGTCCTGCCAGAGGGGGCTGAGGATGTCCAAGGAGCTGGGAGATCTGGACAGCTGGCCTAAACAGGCCAAAAGAATTTTTCATGTCATATGATATCATGTGAAAAAAAGATAACATTGACATGACCTGGCTGGGGTGGCAGCTGCTGCTCAGGGACAGACTGGGCACTGGTCAGCAAGTGGTGAGTAACTGTGTTGTGCTTCACGTGTTTTGTAAATACACATAATTATCATTCCTGTTATTTCTCTCTTCCTTTCCTACCATATTAAATAGCTTTTCTCTCAACCCACAAATCATCCTTTTTCTTCCCCCCCCCCCAGTTCTCTCCCATCACACTGGACAGAACAGAGAGTGAATGACTGTGTCGCACTGCCGGGTTAAACTACAACAGACAGATAATGAGTGACTGTCGAAATAGGCAGGAAAGAACACAGTCTTTTTATACAGAAAGAAGGGTGCACTTGTGGCCTCACTAGATGTCACTAGCAGGGCTTTCACTGAAAATTCTGCTTACACTCAAAAGTTTGAAGAAATTATGCTGATCTAGTTAATACAACAGATCATTTTTATCATAATGCAGATATCCATGCTAGGGTTCTGAAAGAGATGGCTGATGTGGTCACCGAGCCGCTCTCCATCAATTTGAAAAATCATGCCCAGCCACTGGAAAAAGGGAATATTACTCCCATTTTTAAGAAAGGAAGACCCGGGTAACTACAGGCCGGTGAGCCCCACCTCTGTGCCTGGGAAGATCATGGAGCAGAACCTCCTGGTTACCATGTTTAGGCACATACAAGATGAAGGGTGATCCAAGACAGTGTGGCTGCACCAAGCCACCACTGTGCCTGACCAATCTGGTGGCCTTCTGCGATGGAGTGATGGCTTCAGTGGATGGGTGAAGGGTGATGGATGTCATCTTCCTGGACTTTTGCAAAGCCTCTGACATGGCCCCTCACCACATCCTTCTCTCTGAATTGGAGAGGTGTGGATTTAAAGGGTGAACTGCTTGATGGGTTAGGAATTGGCTGGCTGGTCGCAGCCGAAGGACTGTGATCAGTGATTCTATGTCTGGGCAGAGGCCGGTCACAAATGGAAACTCCCCCAGGGGTTGATCTTGGAACCAGTGCTCTTCAACATCTTCATCAGTGACATCAAGTGCATGAAATCAAGTGCATCCTCAGCAAGTTGAATGGTGCAGTTGATACGTTAGAGGGAGGGAAGCCATCCAGACAAACCTGGACAGGCTGGAGAAGTGGACCCATGAAATCCTAATGAGGTCCAATAAGGCCACGTGCAGGGTGCTGCACCTGGGGCCGGGGCAATCCCAGGTGTTTATACAGAGTGGGGGAAGAAGTCCTTGAGAGCAGCCCTGCGCAGAAGGACCTGGGGGTCCTGGTGGACGAGAAGCTGGCCATGAGGCAGCAGTGTGCGCCTGCAGCCCGGAAGGCCAGCTGTGTTCTGGGCTGCATGAAAAAGGGGCGGCCAGCAGGAGAGGGAGGTGATCGGCCCCCTCTGCTCGGCTCTTGTGAGGCCCCATCTGCAGCGCTGCGTCCAGGCCTGGGGCCCCCAGCACAGCAAGGACGTGGAGCTCTTGGAACGGGTCCCTAAGATGATCAGAGGGCTGGAGCACCTCTCCTATGGAGAAAGGTTGGGGGGACTGGGCTCGTTTAGCTTGGAGAAGAGACGGCTCCGGGGAGACCTCATTGTGGTCTTCCAGTGCTTGAAGGGAGCGTGTAAAGAGGAGGGGGAATGGCTGTTTCCATGGGTTGATAGTGACAGGACAAGGAGGAATGTCTTCAACTGAGGTTCAGGTTGGATATGAGGAGGAAGTTTTTCACCCAGACGGTGGTGAGGTACTGGAACAGGTTTCCCAAGGAGGCTGTGGATGCCCCATCCCTGCAGGCATTCAAGGCCAGGTTGGATGTGGCTCTGGGCAGCCTGGTCTGCTGGTTGGTGACCCTGCACATAGTAGGGGGGTTGAAACCAGATCATCTTTTGAGCTCCTTTTCAACCCAGGCCATTCTATGTTTCTCCAACTGGTGCATATAATGCATATACCTGTTTTACACAGTATAAACATAAAAAAATCACAGAATCACAGACTGTTAGAGGTTGGACCATCTGGTCCAACACCTGTTCAAGAAGGGCCACCCAGAGCATGCTGCCAGGACTACATCCAGGTGGCTTCTGAAGGCACCACATACGCCTTTATGAGTAAAATTGCATCTACATTAGAAAACTTATCAGCCCTACAGTGCTGATCATAGATCAAACATGATCCTATTTCCACCACCAAGACTAAAGCTACTCAAATTTAGAATCACAGAATTGCTTGGTCAGGAAGGGACCTTAAAGATTACCTAGTTACAACCCCTGTCCATGGGCAGGATTGCCAACCACTTGATCAGAAACTTGGAGAATAGATTAAATCTCTTTCTGAAAGTGGAAAGATAGAGTGGCCTAAGCCATTTAATGTTTTTTGCCATTTTAACAAATAATGAAATATTTAGTTAGCACTGACAATTAACACAAACTTTTCTTTATTCCTTACACTGACTAACTGTAAATTTGCTGCACTGCCTTGCATAACAAGAGTGTCATTGAAGCAAGGTCTAGTCAGCCCAAAATAGACTTTCTAAAAGCAGATGAAAGATTTATCCCATACATATATAAAAGATGAACCTATGTGCTACTGTGAAATCATTTCTCTCCTATTTGTACTCTTAACTTTCTCATTAACATGTGGCAGTTGGTTTCACAACTGTGACTGCAGGAAAGCCAGTCCCCTTTCATTTAAGCCTGCAACCTAATGACTATTGGATTTTCTGTTGTCTTGAAAAACTGGAAATCATTCCCTATTTATTGCCTTCGTGTCACTCGTAACAGCCATTTTCGTGGGAAAAAAAACAAAAACAACCAACCGCCATCCCTAGAATGTGCCTTTTAATGTTTAAAAAAAAAAAATCTCCTACCTTCTTTATCACCCTTACTATCATCTCAGTAGTACTTGTTACCATGTCATGGGTTTATGATTTTTATCATCAGTATTCCACACCTTAACATTATGTGGTGCACTGGGAGTTAAAGACTTAATCCTTCAGTTCCATGGATTGCTGATATTTCCAGCTACCTGGTTCTCAGGAGAAAAGAACTACATATCCCAGAAGACTTTCACTGCTCCGTTTCTGTTTTCTGTTTAGAGGGAAAGATAAAATTGCTCACAAGTCGCAAGACTGCCTCTTCTTTTACCACTTGACTCTTCGGTGTGTGCTCCATCACCACCTTGCATCAGAGGAGGGACCTTAGGTTTCAGATAGTCACTCTCTCTTTCCCAATCATTCATTTGATTTATTAGCTTCAATTCCAATTATATTATATTGTATTATCTCCTATTTCACTATCATATTTGGTAAATTAGTTTTCTCCCTTAGCTTGTTGCTGTTGTTTTTGTTTTTAGGCCCATGTTGGTGGTCTTGGTGGGAACTCTAATAAAACTCAAATTCTTAAGAAAAATACTTTTGAGCAGAAGAATAATTTAAATTTTTTCAGCTCTGTTCTTTCTTGTTGTATTGCACAGGAAACACTGCGGATCAAGAATTCTGATCAGAGCTTCCACTTCCTCTGCACATACCAGGACTGCGTCTGTGACTTGTACCAAGACTGACAGGCTAGTACTCTTCTGTCCGCTGGTATCATTTTGATAGAAAGCTTGTTACAATGGGGTAGGTCTGTATCCAAACAAATAATTTTCATGCTGCTAAAATTAATTACAATTAAAGCCAGAACATTTTAATATACGAAACCTATTTCTCAGCCTCATTAAGTGTAATTTTCTGTTGCCCATCTTTTTAAATTGTTTTTATACTGTTATAGTTAAGACAATACAATCTGCAAGAGCATACTTATTGATATTAAGAAAATCAGCTTTGACCACAATAAGCACATTTCTGAAAGTACAGTTACAGGAAATTCAAAGACTGGAGAAGTTTTTGGGCCAATGCAAGAAAAGTTACTTTTAAGGTCAGAACACTGAAGAACTAGCAGTGACCAGTATATAGCAGTACAGAAATTTCAGTGACTACATATTACTCTTCCACTTCCATCGCCTCATTGCAAATCTTCTTCAAAGTTCTAAGAAAATTGTTTTATGATTGATCCTGATGTGCCAGCATAGGGCTGAATGTCATATGAAAAATATTATTCTCAAGATTGATCCGATCCACATTGAAATCAGGTAGGTGGAACAAGCTGCCTTAACTACCTCTAAATGTTACCATCACTCACCTTATTAAAGTAATGCAGAAAAAGCAACAACTTAAATGATTAGAAAGTACATGTAAGTAGGTATTCAAAATGCCCTCAAGAACAAATTCTTAAATTAAACATTTACCTGATAACGTAAGTCCTAAAGGGTATAATGTGCTGCATGACAGCAGGGATGTGTAGCCATATTCTGATCTATAACGTAAAAATATACATAGATAAAAATTTCATTAATGACATTTAATAAGAGTGTTAAAGAATGAAATATTGCTGGTACATTTGCGCATGCAACCCCCACTCTGAAAATGGCTTTGTTGTTTTTTCCATATAAATCATTTCAACTTGCTAATTTTCTGATTTTCAAGGCTAGGTGAAGAACATTCCTGTGACTTTTAAAAACATTTTTCTCATCTAGTCAAATAGGAAATAAAAGATTTCTGTGTAAGATCTCAGGGCAGTATGATTTGTGAATTTTCTGCAGCTTCTCCTGTAGGAATAACTACTGCTCAGCCATGTGTTGGTCTTGTTTTGTGGGATTTTTTGTTTGTTTTTTTTAAAAGTCCACATTAGAAATTCTGTTCCTTACAAAACACTTCAAAATCATGAAAAATGACTTTACTTGTGTTGACTTTTTGCTTCTTAGAATTTATATACCCTATGAAATAAAACTATGTTTTATAACCAGCAAGAAAAAGCAGACCTTTTCAAATACTGTCTTTGCATCCCTGTGTTCACCACACTGCCTTTACCACTTTTACACAGCTGTACACAGTAAGAAAATATATGCAGAAAAGAAACCTGAAACAGCTTTTTAGCACTGCTGTGAGGAAAAGAGGACCAACCAAACTACTTACACTGGCAAACTTACAAGTTCCATCTGCATTTCAAAAAGGAATGCTAAGCCTGTTAAACCTGTTACAGAAAGACAACTAGGTGCCAGGTAAGGGATCTAGCACAGATGCAGTGTTAGCAGCTGTTACTACTACTGATATAATTTAAATAACGCATGCACAGCACACAGCTCTTCCCAATAGATAACAGTGACAGTCACTCAAAGTGACTTGTCAGTTTACATCTCCATGCTTGTTCTCAGAAGAAAGTTTAATTGTTGCAAGTGACACAATAAATTCTGGCTAAGAACTAAATTTTCACAAGTATTTTGGTAAGTTATATATGCAGAAAATGCTACATTCCTCTTCTGGCTAGGAGAAAAAAAGACTAGGCAAAAGAAAAACTGTATGATCAGTTATTTTAAATGTTTGTGGAATCAGCCAAATCACACGCGAGTCAGCTCCAAAAAATAATATTTTTAGACTTACTTTTTATAATGTAACTAATACAACAGCAATACCAAACTATTTCACAAGTCAAACATGCCAGATCTTTACACTGCAAAAAAGATCACATTTGGAATAAAACTGTGAATCTACTTGCTGTCTCAATAAGAAAAAAAAAAAAAAAAAAAAAGACTAGTGCACTAAATACATAAGGTTTGACTAGAAGATGCTTGGACTAGAAACAAAAATTAAATATTTTGTCAGAAAATTGCAAGACTGACAAACATATTGTTGCATTCAAGCTATCAGATTTATAACATGATCTGTACTGTTTTCCACACTCAAGCATGAAGGGTCACAAGGAAATACATTTCCTTATGGAATAAAAGTAGCAAAGGATTTTTATCATTTTGTTTCATTGTTTGTAGCAATTTCCACTCTGTATTAATTCAAACTTCTACAGCCATTTCAGTCATCTGGATGTCTGCATTACATTACAAACTTCATTCATAGAATTGAGTTAATTATCAATTTCCTGTTATAAATGAAAGCAGTTTTCATTGTGAAACCAAAGTTTTATATTATAATAGATAATAATAATACAAAAACAAATACACTCTTTTATGTTACATGTTCTTTATCATAGGCAATTCATTTCTAAAAGATAGTGTCTCGCTCAATCAGAATGATTTTCGGTGCTGTTTAAACTCCCCACAGAAGCTCCAGGTCATGGATTTCTCTGCATCTCTTAGTTCTTTCAGGAGACCAACATTACATTGGGTGCAAATGTGCAAATACCACAAAATATGAAATAAGGGAAGGAAGGTGGAACAAAATATTTGACTAAAAATGCCACAAAATATTTTAAGACAGAACAGCGCTGCTGCAATGTATGTTGCTATGAAAACATTTTGCAGAGCTGCAAGTTGGAGAAAAATAAGACTGCCAACTAGTCAGATCCCTTATGGATGCCTCGTCCCTAGAGGTGTTCAAGGCCAGGTTGGATGGGGCCATGGGCAGCCTGGTCTGGTTGGTGAGGTTGGTGGCCCTGCCTGTCGCAGGGGGGTTGAGGTCCCTTCCAACCCTGGCCATTCTGTGATTCTGTAATACTGCATTATATTGTATTTGCTGGCTTCATTACAGAAGTAAGGTAGTCTGATTAAGACTTTTAGTGAAAGAAAATTTACCGTACAAAACATTTCAAGAAAACATCTTTTCAGTATTTTTTTCTGTCCTTTGTGTATAGGAAACACAAGTAACCATCACCAAGCAGTTGTTCAGTTGTCCTGAACAACTTACTAACCTGTCCTGGTGGCCTTCTCATGAATGCATCTTTACAGCACACCTGATGAGATTCGCACCTTCCTTTTAGAAGAAACAGTGCAAATCCTTCCCACAGCACAATGCAGCTTTATCTACTAGGAGCTTAATGCTACAGGTTATTAGTAGAGTCATTTGTTTTCAGTTTATTATTTCCAAATTTAATTCCTGAAGATTACTAGATCTATCTTTTTAATGAAAAACAATTGGTCCATCTACACTAAAATCTTACTTAAAAATATTTTTTGAAACATTCAAGATAGTAGCTAAACAACTCATTCTTCTCACAGATTTTAATTCCAGCATTACTATTTCTAGGAATCTTCTAAATGATGGCTACTGAAATGCAATTCTTGAGAGCTTATATTACTGTGAAAATGTATTTAACAATAACCATACACTATGGTTCCCGCTTTATATATTGGTACCTCGTAACACTTGGTCTGCTCTCAAGTTTGTACCAGAACCTATTTCACTATAAACATGAAAATCAGGTACAACAATTCAACTTGCCGTTTTCTCTCTCTGCTCATTTTAATATAATGGGGTTAGGAGCAACTCAGCTGCTATACTGGAGCAAGACACATCAGCAGGTTGCTCTGACAGCTGCTAGAGGTGAAGAGCTTATCAGATCCTACAGAAAGGGGCAGAAGAGAACGCAGCAGTGTAACACATGGAGGTCCTCTAGCAGTCCTCCCGCATAACATTACATGGACTGATTGCATCATGCTTTACCAATCTGTTTTCTGACCTACATGTCAAGAATCATTACACTGGAAGGATAAGGAGTAGGAAATACAGATCACAAACACTGGCTTTATTTCAGTAATCAGTTCTCTCCATGCAAACATATTTCAGTACTCATTTAGAACATCATCCTGGATGTTCAGTAACAGCAAGGAAAAGCTGTGTGGAAACAAGGATCTGATTTTAAACATTTAACATTGTTGCAATCAACATAAAAATTATGGTAAACTCACTTCTCAGAAGGCACAGCAAACTACTGGTTTCCCTTATACCCTTATGCAACATCCACAAGACAGGTCACAACTTAAAATTCATGTTACACTAACTTCACTAATCCTTTTTCAGAAAGAAGTTTTCATTTCTCTTACCAATCTCCTTCAGATTTCCACCAAAGTTAATTCATAACTTTGGAGGAAAACACTGCTATTATTCCAAAATGAACAAACAATGAAGGGTGCTTACTTTAAAACTAAGTAACAATAAAACATGGTTCCCTCTACACTTCAAATGTGCATAAATGATAAAACCACAGAAAACTGAAAGGAAAATAAACCCACAGGCTTCCCCTTTGTGCCAAACAGGGAATATATAAAAAGTTAATATATCCTAAAAGCAGCTTAAAATATTTTCACAACACAACTTCAGGGACAGAAACAACATCCAAAAATGTTCCTACAGATAACTTCAGAGGCTCTTACAAGACTGATGTCTAGGGCTGATGAAATGATCTAAATCTGCCATGTTAGTTATGTGCCTCAAGGGGATATATAGAGGACTCCAACAGTGAAAAGCTGCCTCAGTGAACCAGGAATGTATTCCCCACAAGGAAAATTTTAGTGTTTTTCTTCCTTCCCTGCTCCTATGGAATTTTTCCAGACTTCAGAACTGTTTACTTTGTACTCCACCTAAAATCAACATCAAGACACTTGTACTTACGTTAGACACCACTGTGATAAATGCATGTGCTATAAGAAATGGCAGTGTCTCAGGAGTTCCATATTCAAAGCAATCCTTCATGAGGGAAAGGCCATTTTTTCCACAAAACAGACAAACATAACGAAGCAAGTGCAGTGGTACTTCTACATCCTAGAGAAATTGAAATATTTATTTAAAAAAAGCGGAAGAATTTGAACAATCAATACTAGAGTGATTCAGTCACACAGGTAATTTGAAATAAAATACATTATCGTAACAGCAATCTACACAGAGGAGAGAACACAGCTACTGCAAGGTTCTGAGAAATGTGCACCTATCAAAAAAACGGACAACTTACATTCATGTCACAGAATGCTCCTAGTATATTGCTTTCTTGAGCAGAAATATCCTGTTTAAAAAGAGAAAAAATACATCTCACTAACATAAACAACAACAACAAACTTTTAGAATAAAACACAAGTGACCATTAACAGATGTTATAGTCAATCAGAAAAACAAAACACCTAATTTAGAGGAAGCCAGCCTAGTCTTTCCTCTTTCACACTGGAAAACACTCATGAATTTATTTTTGTTAAAACCTAAGTACACAAACATACATTAAGGGTAACATACCAGCTGTGGCTCTCAGTGGCTGTGATCAAAAGATAATTCTTCAGCCCTCCCCTCCCTTTTCACCTGCCTCAAGATCACCAATTTTTCAACAGAAATGCTACAGAGGAGAGTCTAGCACACTGGTTGCAGACTTGTATGAGAATTACAGGACAGAATTAATCTCAGTGCTTCTGAACACATTTTTACATAAAAATGAGACATTTAACCAAACACATTAAGTTAGATGAAATATAGAATAGTCTATAGTCCTACATTTAATAATCTAAGTGATAAACTATCAAATTATTTGCACCCATCAGAATGTTATAAATCCCTAACTTCAACTACTATATTATTTTATGTTTAACAAAATATCCCTTATAAAATAAGGACCTAAATACTCTTCACAGGTTAAAGAGAATACACCTATAGCCCTATCAATCTGTAAGCTATCTGTTGTGAAGACAAAAATATTTCCCAGAAATTCTAAACTAAAGAGAATTTAGAAAGATACCTTTTCTTTACTTGTTAATAACACCCACTTGCTGGACAGCTAGAATTTCCCTTATTAGGATTGCTACGTATATTGCGTAGATCTTGCATACGGCTAAAGGCAGTCAAACTATAGTAAAACATGATTGTAATACCACAATATTGCCATGGAATTGCAGTACACATTCTTCCCCTTCCTATCCTTCTGTACCAAACATCCAGTTGTAATATTTGCAACCAAAATGCAAGTTTAAGATAAAGCTGTTTTGAAATTAAGTTTCCTGAGTATATTTCAAATACCTCTGCAGAAGTAAGCTTCTTTAACTATACCATAGGATGCTGGAGGCAAGTGATTTCAGATGGATGAAGTGTGATACAAACATTTTGAATTAGAAGCATATTGGACATATTTAAGCACTGATTTTCCTTCTGATTATGATACACTTATAGCTATTTTTAAAACAGCTCTGAAGGCAGTAAGTGGTATACAAGAAGAAGTATTCAGTACTCCTATTGTGAAAAACTCAGAAATAATATGAGAAATTTCATTAGTTTTCTGGAACAAAACAAAGAACTGTCAAGTGACCTACATTACTTAGAAACTAGAAGTCAGAAATTTATGTCTGTTGCGTGAGTCCTGCTAAGATTACTGAAAGCATCATCACTAGGAGACTGAGTCTGGAAACCTGATTTCTGTATTTGCAGGCACGAAACAGAACAGAGAAATCCCTAAGATCAACTTCATAAGGAAATAGTAGAACCATCCTTATGGGAAACTAACATAACATTAAAAAACACCACAACTTCAGAAGAAATACATTAACTGAAGTCTGTCCACCTTGGGTGGAGAATACTTGATTAGGGTTAGCTTTCCAGAAAAGATTTACCTGAAAACAAAAAGCAGAAATAGCCATATCCCAAAGCATTAGGGAACTAAGGACACCCAAATAACTGTTCTTTTTTCCCTTTTTCATCTTCTGTCAGAAACTGCTTAGCACACTCCCTTAAGATTTATTATTCATTCATGTCTGGAGGAATTTTTAGACACTGAAAGTTCAGGAGTGCATTTCATGCTACAGGATTTTAAGTGTTTCCCTTTTTAAAACTTTTTTCCCCCTCTGAATTCCTCATGTATAAATTTGCTGCATCAAATATAAACTAAAGAACAGAGCACACTGTTTTGAACTACCCTGTATGCGTGGTATCTATAAGGATACTGAATTGCCCAAACCCCAAGAAAGTGTAATTTATAAAAGTAGAGTGAATTTAATGATGAAAAATACAAAGATCTTCCTGCACACCAAAAACACTGGTAGATTTCAACAGACGTAAACAGTCTGCTTCCAGATTTTATCTTCACAGAAGTTCTGTTCTTCAGTGTTGATGACCTGAGATTAACTGTCCTCTAACAAATCACAATCAGTTGCACTCTTCTGGAAAATCAAACTTATCAGAAATGCAATGAAAAGTGCCTTTCTACCAAGTGTAAGAAAAGTTGAGGCACACATTCTGTCTGTACTGACCTACATTCTTTTTGTATGGGTTAAGAGTATGTATTCATCAATTCTCATGTAGCGTAAGCCATATTTATACCACGTAACGTAGTGCCACTATCTTATGTCCAGCACATTTCTAAGTTTCTTCCCCCTGCAAGGCCACGTTAACTTTGCTGTCAGAAATGAACTGTTCATGGAGTTTCTGCTGTTAATATGCAGCCCTTCTGGCTACCAACTTATCTTCGTTTTATGATACTTTTGAACTGAGAAATGTGTAAAAGACAAAAATTAATTTTTTATCCATATTATTTAAGGACAGAGTCTATAGAATTAACTACGGGCTGATACCCTAAATTTTATTGTTCTAAATTTTATTGTTCTTTTTTTATCCAATTCAGACTATCTAAAATAAGGAAAACCTGCTACTTTCATATCAAAGTTTTTCTCTTCTGCTAGATGGTCAAGTTTAAAAACTGCTTTGGAATCTAATCTAATCCTCTTACTTGCTAAGAGGATTAGACTTCAGGAACTCTTCTGTCATTAAACAGAAAGATTCTGGATGTGTACGCAGAGCGAACACTAGTAATAAATATTTTTGTCCAAAAATATTTTGTCCAGAAGATGATACCATGTAAAAGCATTACATAGGAAATTTTTAAATGACAGCCCTGTTAGTTATTTCCAGGCAAAGTGAAACCTTACTGGACTCGATGACTCAAACTGTGCAAGTTAAACTCAAAAATCTGGAACAAGAAATTTCTAAAGTGGAGATTGGAGTCTATTTTCCATCAGAAATTTTCCCTCTTGCCAGAACAAAGGACAACAAAGAACTTAGACAAGAGAGCTATGCTGGCTCTTCCCACCAACACCTGGCAGAACTAGTCTGTCCAGGAATCTGTTTAGCTTACAAGAACAAACAGCGCACTCAAAACACATACTTTTTTTTGTTATGAGTTCTTGAAGCCTGCTTTAAAACAAAGCATAAAAAAAAAAAAAAAAAAAAAAAAAAAAAAAATCCATTATCCAGGATTAATAATTTGCTTCTCAATTCAATTAAGAAGTGTTCTATACTGAAATCTGACGTTAAATTCTAAACGTCAAGAAGTACCAGAAAGTTTTGGTATTAAAACAGCTATCACTACTATGAGTTTCTTAAATATAGAAATATCTCAGTTTGTGAGAAAAACAATTAATGCTGGAACCTTTAAAAGAAAACACTTCAATAAAGAGGAAGAATGTATCTAAGTATGGCAGGCTAACAAACCTTTATAATGCATTTGTGGGTACACAAAAGTTGAGCAGAAAAGGAAGAAGCACTTTTTCCTCACTCGCCTGCATCCCCATTAGTGTGTTTCTTAGTCTCTGCTTCCTTTCAACCCATATGTTTTTAGCAAAGCTAATCAATAAATACATTCAATAACTCAAGTGATCCACACAACATATATACTGCCTAGTGTGACAGCTGCTCACAATCCCACAATCTACCATGTATCTATGGCCAACCGTTTAAAGTGAAGAAGAAATCCCTCCAAGCATTTCACTATTTTCTTTTTGTCATTTGGAAGTGAAATTAAGGAAGAAAAAATATACGTAAAAGAGTCATTTAAAAGAAACAAGTGCATTCATACATAGAGAACTTGTTTTAAAATTCTTCGTTGTATATTCCCACTAAAGTTTTTGTAAGAAGTCATTGACTTTTTAATTTTGATTTTCAGCTGAGAAAATAGATCAGTTGTCTTCAGTTTCTACTTGCTAAGGCTGAGCTACAGATATACTTTTGTATGGTTAAGGTTTAAAAGGCAAACCAAGAGAAATGATGGGAAACCTGAAAATCCTAGACTATGCCTCCTTTTTCTATTCACACGTATCTGTGAAATAACCTACGTTAACTTACACCCATGCTTTCATAAGAGCTCACTGAAAAGAACGGCTGTGTTGCCCATCTAACTACATCGCATATTAGCTAGATTTAGCATCAGATGTGGAAGGATCTGTTCAAGAATTGGTTTTATTTTGTGATCACACTAGCTTACACAAACAAAAATGATGCATGATTTCTTCTCAATCTGAACTCAAGTTTAAAATGCAAGCTTAACTACTCAGAGCTCTAGAGCTCCAAAAGTATGAATAAAAAAAAATTAAGACTAGCTTAACTGTTCTTTAATTCCACACTTTGACTCTTTCAGAAGTTTATTGGATAGAAGCTTTGTTTATATAGCTAAATATACATAACTAAACCTTTCCATGTTCCAAGGAGATGCTAACAGGTAAATACCTATTCCGGAACATTTCCAAGAGTCTGAAAGTGTTTTATGTTTGCTGTTGTTGTTTTGCATTCAGAATAAAATACAGAAAAAAGTTAGCAGTAGAGACTCCTCAAATACCTTAGAGAAAAATCACACCTACAGAACAAATTACTTGTACAAAACTTTGTTATTCCAGTCAACTAAACAGCTATTCTAACAAGAAAGTCTGGGCTTGCACAGAGTTTAGTTTACGACAGCCTGCTTTTAGAAGCATAGATTATAATGAAAACTATTAATAGGTTACCTGCTGGAAGAAAGGCTTCACTACAGTTCCCTTTTTGCCTTTCTGTTATTTAAACAGCACAATAACTCAGTGTACAATTCCATACAACACTTACCAATATGTTACCTATAACAATCAGGCACATTTTAAAGAAAGTGCAAGGGTATGTCATTTAAAAATTTTTTCTTGTAAGTCCTACTGAAGTAAACAGGAGACTTGAATTTGCTCATCCTGTGCAAAAGTAGCTATCGGCACACAGACTGGTAAGAACACACACTCTGTCACAAGATAATTAAATACACATATCAAGATAAAACATACCTCTATTGTAGGATGAGTATTATGCTTATAAGCAGTGTACAAAGGAAACTGAATCTGAAAGATTTTTGCCACACACAGCAACAACTTCTCCTTCTCATCAGTGCTCCAGCTAAAACCATCAATGCTCTTCGTAGATGACTCCTCAGTCAGGATACAAGTTCTTGCAGAATCTATTTTTTTCTCTATAGATCTTTGCCGTTCTCTATCTTCTTCGTCATGAGAGTCTCTTTCTACATTCAGGGGTTCATCAGCACAATTACTATGATCTTGCCATGTTGAATCTATATTAATAGTGCAATGTTTACAGAGCTGGTCCCGCAGAGCTTGAACTTCAGCAATCACCAAGTTAATAAGCGCGCATACTACTTGGTTAAAGATCTCCAAATGTTTATATTCCTTGAAACAGCACAGACATTGCCTGTAATAAGAGAGAAAAAATAAAATAAAATCTCCTGAAACAGCTGAAAAAATCTCACTCGGACTGAACTCTATCAAAATTGAGTTAAAAGTAAGAAAAAAAAAAAAAAAAAAAAAAGAAGGACAAATTGGAATATTCAGATGACTGACAAAAAGGAGTCTATACATTAAGACTATTTTAACAACAAAATATTTGACTGACCCATAAAGGAAATATTACAGTCAGAAAGATTACTGTGGTGGAAAAGCAATACAGGAATAGAACTCAACTCTTGGAAAGGGTAGATAACAGCAGGACAAGGGGGGGGGTTCCAAGTTGAGAGAGGGAAGATTTAGGTTGGTTGTCAGGGGGAAGTTCTTTACTATGAGAGTGGTGAGGTGCTGGAACAGCTGCCCAGAGAGGCTGTGGATGCCCCGTCCATCCCTGGAGGTGTTCAAGGCCAGGTTGGAAGGGGCCCTGGGCAGCCTGGGCTGGTATTAAATAGGGAGGCTGGTGGCCCTGCGTGTGGCAGGGGCAGGTGGAGAATCATGATCCATGAGGTCCCTTCCAACACTGGCCATTCTGTGATTCTGTGAACATAAAAAGGGACAAAGAGGAAAGGAATGCTCACCCATTCCCAAGGATCTAAGCTTGTGGGGAAAAACTCTGCAAGGAAGGGATCACCAACCAGAGATCCTTCTCCACTGGCAATCAGCCCTTAAATGGGGCCTTCTCGTCACACAGCTGAATTGCCTTCACCTGTGCTCCCAAGGCTGACCCAGTCCTTTCCCCATATTATTAATCAGTGGTTCAGGCTGTGACTCAACAGTTCCCATACAGGCAATAAAGTCCAAATGAAGCTAGAGCTACTCAGAAGCAAGTTGGAACCACAAAGCTCTCCTTAAATCCTGTAAACACACCACTATTCTCAAATTATATATATATATATGTATACAAAAAAGGTATCTTACAGGTAAGCTCACTGAACTACTAAAGAAGCAACGTTCTTGAGAATGTTCCCAAATCCATTCCTCACCTAGTTTTCCCTATCAATACTGCTGCATTAAACCACAAGACATGCATGTTAGCTGAGCAAGAATTGTTTTTTAATTAGTAGAGTCACAAAACGATTTTTGAGTATTTAAGTTCACTTCCTTTATCTGCGTTTGGGTAGATAAAAACCCCATCCACGTTAGTACCCTTTAACCATATGGGAAAAAGCAGTATCTGCTATCTTCATTTCTTCCTTTACTTGGTAGACAGAGAGATTACTCTGAATATCTACTGACATACTGTAAGTTGAAAAGAACAATGGGAAAACTGCACATCATTGTTCTAACAATACAACAGGAAAGACAATCCACTTATCAATCTGTATTACAATTGTAGGTGTGGACTAAGATAGCTAGATATACGGAAAACATTCAAAGTGCATAAACACCCGAGATATATAAACTCAGAACTTAGTCTGGGAACATTTGTTTCTTCCATAGAAAAGAAAAGGTGTTCAATAAGAGGATTGTAATCCTGGAGAAAGTAGAAAAAACTGTAATCAATAAGCAAAGGAGCTTCAATGAAGATAAAAATTCAAGGTTATTTGCTTGTAACACAGTCTTTGAGATGGATTCATTTCCCTCTCATTCAAACTCTAAGAAATGATGCAGCTCTTATAAAATGTGATCATCTTCCAGTAGAGACCTCTCTCCTACTGTATACAGCGCAACAGACTTCAGTTCATAACCAGAGCTCTCAGCTACTAAAATAATACAAAAATTACATGTTCTGTTTCTGAAAAATGAGCAGGTAGAAGACAGGGGAAGAAAACATCAAGAAGAGATTACTGAGAATTATGATGGGTAGAGAGTGGTGCCTCTCTGAGGAAATACAAAGATGGCCTTGAGCTACAGCACCTGAAAATACCTCTGTACACAGTTGTGTGTTCTTTGTTTCAGTGAGTTAAACATAGTTATTCAGTACAGAATATTCAGTATTCCCTACTGCCAGCACAGGAATAGTGATGGATGCACCTAAAATTTCTGATGCAAAGCAGAAAGAAACAACTTTTTAGTATCATGCAAGCAGAGTGTCTTCACCTATTTAAACACACTCTCATGATTCACAATTAAATGAGCACTTTAATTTACTGTATAGTATGTACATTATGAGATGCATTATCATCAACACAGTCTCATTAAAAAGAAAAAAAATACCTTTGTGTCCAGGAATTGATATAAGCAAATATCTTGAGCACATGTTCCTTTCTGAGCTGCAATCCATCAGCACCTTCAACATCAGATACTGAAGGAAAAAAAGAACATATTAGTGCCAAAAAACCTCATGTAATTGCTATACTTTTATTACAAATTATCTTTACGGTTTGAGTAGAATCCAAAGCATAGCTTGAAAAATTATAAAAAATACTCTGTAATAATAAACACCAATCAAGTTACAGTAACTTTATATCAAAGATCTTTCAAGATGAAAATGCATAACATCCAAATAAATTAACTTTTCATATTAGAAAATAGTCAAACCAAATCCATCCACTTTTTCCTTTCAGTAAACAGACATAAGGTTTAAAATGCAACTAACTTTAAACCAGAAATTGCACAGTAATAGTGGAAACTGCTGTTCAAGTTAGTCACTCAGAACAGCCTTTTCTTCTACTCCAATACCCCACATGCAAACTGATTAATGGCAATCTCTCAAGCACAGAAAATGAATCTTAAAAATCACAAAAGATGTCCCTAGTTATTAGCATTCCTAACTCCACAGACTTGTACTGTAGAAACAAAGATTTCCTGCTCCATAAACATACATTTCTGATTAAAAATCCCACTCCTTAGCTGCAAGGGGCAGGCAAGTGTTTCAGAACAGGATGCTTGTAAAAATATTTTAAAGGAATCAAAAATAGCTAAAATTAAAAAGACAGCTCAACATGAAGTACACTTCATACACTCCACTGGGAACCACTGACAGATCTGTATTTTCAAATACACATCTTCAATAATTTCACTCATTAGCCAGTTTTCTGCTTTCTTTTTTCCCCTCCAGATTTTAAAAACATGCATTTTGAGATGAGTTTGAGACCTTAACTCCCTTCTCCTAGTCAGACAAAGCTTGGAAAAAAGAGACTATCAAGCTAAGAATAGACGTGCAAACTACAAGAAAGTTATTTCAGGCTAGTAGATGATTACTAGCAAATATAAACATGTCTATATTATTTAATGATAATGAATCCCCAAGTGGCAAAATGAAAAATCTTTGCACTTACTAGAGCCAGATATCAGAACGGTTATGAGTCAAAAGCAAAAGCAACAACTACGAATGAGGTATTATCACGTGCCCCATTCTCATCTAATAAAATGCTGAGGCACTTGAATAAGCCAAACATCAGCAGTAGCTGAAGACGCATCCATATCAACAATGGATTCTGTTTACTGTTTGTATACCCTTCTCCAAATATTCTCCAAATATCAGTGCACAACTGTCATGGCCTCCTTAGCCTAAACTTCCATTTTTCTCTGCCTATTATCTTACATACATATTCTTGCATTAACAATGTTTGCCTCCTTGCCACCTCTCCCCACTTAAAAACGAATCCTACAAAGTAGGTCAGTAACACCTAACTTCCAGAGCAGCCATTTGACTTTGAAACACACTCAAGATTTCCATTCTTTTAAGAATAAGGTACTGAAATTTAAGTAAATGGATCGCTCTTTTGAGCCAAAGCTACAACACAGTCTAGTGTACAGTCTAGAAGTGATTGAATACTGAAGCTTGTGTTACTGGGTCAAAAACAAGCAAACAGGTATATGCATTATATGCACCAGTTGGAGAAACATAGAATGGCCTGGGTTGAAAAGGAGCTCAAAAGATGATCTGGTTTCAACCCCCCTACTATGTGCAGGGTCACCAACCAGCAGACCAGGCTGCCCAGAGCCACATCCAACCTGGCCTTGAATGCCTGCAGGGATGGGGCATCCACAGCCTCCTTGGGAAACCTGTTCCAGTACCTCACCACCGTCTGGGTGAAAAACTTCCTCCTCATATCCAACCTGAACCTCAGTTGAAGACATTCCTCCTTGTCCTGTCACTATCAACCCATGGAAACAGCCATTCCCCCTCCTCTTTACACGCTCCCTTCAAGCACTGGAAGACCACAATGAGGTCTCCCCGGAGCCGTCTCTTCTCCAAGCTAAACGAGCCCAGTCCCCCCAACCTTTCTCCATAGGAGAGGTGCTCCAGCCCTCTGATCATCTTAGGGACCCGTTCCAAGAGCTCCACGTCCTTGCTGTGCTGGGGGCCCCAGGCCTGGACGCAGCGCTGCAGATGGGGCCTCACAAGAGCCGAGCAGAGGGGGCCGATCACCTCCCTCTCCTGCTGGCCGCCCCTTTTTCATGCAGCCCAGAACACAGCTGGCCTTCCGGGCTGCAGGCGCACACTGCTGCCTCATGGCCAGCTTCTCGTCCACCAGGACCCCCAGGTCCTTCTGCGCAGGGCTGCTCTCAAGGACTTCTTCCCCCACTCTGTATAAACACCTGGGATTGCCCCGGCCCCAGGTGCAGCACCCTGCACGTGGCCTTATTGGACCTCATTAGGATTTCATGGGTCCACTTCTCCAGCCTGTCCAGGTTTGTCTGGATGGCTTCCCTCCCTCTAACGTATCAACTGCACCATTCAACTTGCTGAGGATGCACTTGATTTCATGCACTTGATGTCACTGATGAAGATGTTGAAGAGCACTGGTTCCAAGATCAACCCCTGGGGGAGTTTCCATTTGTGACCGGCCTCTGCCCAGACATAGAATCACTGATCACAGTCCTTCGGCTGCGACCAGCCAGCCAATTCCTAACCCATCAAGCAGTTCACCCTTTAAATCCACACCTCTCCAATTCAGAGAGAAGGATGTGGTGAGGGGCCATGTCAGAGGCTTTGCAAAAGTCCAGGAAGATGACATCCATCACCCTTCACCCATCCACTGAAGCCATCACTCCATCGCAGAAGGCCACCAGATTGGTCAGGCACAGTGGTGGCTTGGTGCAGCCACACTGTCTTGGATCACCCTTCATCTTGTATGTGCCTAAACATGGTAACCAGGAGGTTCTGCTCCATGATCTTCCCAGGCACAGAGGTGGGGCTCACCGGCCTGTAGTTACCCGGGTCTTCCTTTCTTAAAAATGGGAGTAATATTCCCTTTTTCCAGTGGCTGGGCATGATTTTTCAAATTGATGGAGAGCGGCTCGGTGACCACATCAGCCATCTCTTTCAGAACCCTAGCATGGATATCTGGCCCCATGGATTTATATACCTTCAGTTTAATGATGGGGTCTTCGACTTGTTCTGCTGTTACAGTGGGATGGAATCTGCTCCTCTCACCCTCACCTAGAGGCTCATGGTCCTGACAGACATGGGGAACCTGACCAGTGAACACTGCGGCAAAGCGCTCACTGAGTACCTCAGCTTTTTCCATGTCTGAGGAAGCCAGTTCTCCATTCTCATTTATCAGAGGACGAACACTCTCCTTGGCCTGTCTCCTCCTGCCTTGTACCTGTAGAACCCCTACTTGTTATTTTTCACATCCCTTGCCAAGTTCAGCTCCATCTGTGTCTTGGCTTTCCTGACTGTATCTCTACATATGCAGACAGCATCCCCGTATTCTTCCCAGGCTACACAAACCTGCTTCCATTTCCTGTACATTTTTCTCTTCTCCCTCAGTTTAAGCTGCAGGTCCTTGCTCAGTCACACCAGCTGCCCATCTCCTCTGCCTGATTTCTTCTGCTGGGGTATGGAGAACCCTTGCACAGAAAGGTGTCCTTAAAGAGCTGCCAGTTCTGTTCTGTTCCTTTACCCTTATGGACGATTTCCCAGGGATCCCATCCAGCAGTTAAACTTGCTATTTCCCTGTTCACATACTCTACACCCCACATGTAGACTAAACCCAATTTGTCTAATTTACTAATCACTGTGAAATAATATGGTGGCAACATTTTTTTCTTTTAGAAAAAAACACCTAGAAATAACATTACTCTTGTTCTTGAAAGTATTCAAGCTTAAAACAGAAGCAACCATACAGAGGCTTCAGTTTCCCAGTGGATTTAACATGATCTATTCGGTAAAAAAGTAAGGCCCCCTATTTGTTTCCATGGAAACTACAACAGATACAAAGACTACAATAACACTATTTGATAAATTCTCAGCTGCAAAACACTACACCATAATCACCACTGTTGTCTATGCATTCTCTGCCAGCAATGAACAAATGCCTACATGCTGTGCTCAAAAGAATCTGCAATAGTGGAGGCGACCCACTGTCACCACTGCTGAAACACCCATCACCTCATCATGCCTCCATCAACATTCAGCAAGTGTTGATGAGTGTCACTGCGTGATTTTTCCCACATGGAGGAATTTAAAGACACACCTTTGCATCATACACACTGCCACATCAGATACTGTTTTGACAGACTGTCCCTCTGCTAGTATCTGCCACATGACAACAAAATTTAACAGAATATTGGTGGGAAGGTTCAACCTCAACGGCCATACCACCAACATCCACCCCTGACATTGTGGGCCAATGCCGTAAAACAGGAGGCATTACTTTCAGAGCAGGCCATTTACGAGGTGGCAGGCACATCCATACATCTGTGCCACTGACTGCCAAAAGGGGCAGCTGCACATCCTGCAGGGCTTCTCCTGATGAATCTTAACTGAAACCCACCTATCCCTTAGTAGAAATTACATTTTTCAACACAGCTGATTTAAATTCTCACAGTCAGGACTTTAGTCTTAAGCATTTAGAGTTCTTATTGTGAGTATCAACTCTGTGGATACTCTTAATTTACAGCCCCCCTCTTTAAGGCCACACAGAGCTTTAAGTACAGCAATAATTGCTTATGAAGCCTTTCCAAAAATTCCTAGTTGAAAAAAAAAAAAAACAAAACACCACATACAGAAAAGCAACAGCAGCAATTTCACTCATCATTCCCGTGCATTTCTTGATTTTCGACAGTTCTGTAAGGACTCCCTTACTGCATACAACTTCACTTTCAGATCTCTCTCAACTTTCAAACTGTTTTTCTTCCACCTTGAATGGATCAGTAGTTAAAACAGACATTTAAATGAAATATGTCTTTTTATTCACTGCCATATTCAAGCATCTTGTATGCCTCGGGTCCTCCTTAAGCTGCTGTCTCCCAGTGTCTCGCACTTTCAGAGTTTCAAATCCAGCACTGACAGCCACGTAGAACTTTTTGAAAAGCTTTTCTTAAGACAACCCCCCTTGCAAATTTATT